AAAATTTAAGAATTTAATGCTTTAAATTAATAACAAAAAAGTGTTATTAATAGTATCAAATTGTAAAAAAAAGAAAAAAAAAGTGTAATGCAAATTAATTAAAAATTAATATAACAAGAGAAATACTCATTGATGATTTAAAGAAATTTTCTCTTTTATAGATGGCTCATCTCTATCATTGACTTAAAGATACATCATATTCTTCATAAATATGGAGAAAATAATTTCAACAAAAAAGATATTACTATATAATTTAGTGAATAATAAGATGATATTAATTGTATAAAATCGAAAAAAATTTAAAAATATTGCGTCGAATGTGACGCAATATTTATATTTTTAATTAGTACTTAAATTATTTCTTCTTAGACATCCATATATTTTACACACTTTTTTTTCTTTTGCTATTCTAAAGCAATAAAAAATTTTCCATCATAAAAATAAATAATAAGTTATCATTTTTCCTATTTCGTTGGTTTTTTGCCCTTTTCTTTCATTTGCATATCCTTTTTAAAGTAAGGAAAATATAAAGGTGGAAACCCTTTACACAAACTTTCTCATATGTAAACAATAAAAAAGAAGATGTTGAAGCTGAGAAATGACCAATTTTATTCTTATGATTATCCAGTCAAAAGGAATTTATGTCAAAAGAGTGCAATTTTTCCTGTCTGACCAGTAAAATTCCCATCAGAATGAGTCCACTTCGTATTTTTAGCTTAAGTCAACAATATCAGCTACTACAAAAGCCCCTGCCGTCAAGTGCCTGCAAATTAAACAGTTGAGGTTACCTGAACAAAGCCTTGTCTGTCTACTGATACAAAAATGTCAAAAAAATAATAATAATGCATGGCCATCGTTTAGTACCTTTCATTAATGTTAAGGGGAAATGAAGTAAAATAAGAAGAGATTAAAATATAAAAATAAATAATAAATGTAGTGAAAATTGGTTGGCTAGCATTTGGTTGACAATAGAAAGTCTTGTAACTTAAGGAGTTGGGTGAGCAATTGGGCAGAATGTCAGAAGCTTATTAAAAACTCAATTATGAAATTGTCAAAGTGGTTGTTAAATGATGTACATTTAGTCATCCAATATTAAATTAATCCCTTCCAAATTCAACTCCCTCCCCAATTTCTCTCCAATAAATTTTCTCCACCTGAAACGCTGACCCAAAATTATTAAGTTCTTTCTATCAAATAGAGCTTAAAAGCTTAAAATCATTAACATTAGTCCCATCAAAAATGATGTCGGGATGTTTCAGATAAGTAGGTCCATGCTTCGCATTGAATAAGTTTCTCATAGATGTGTGGTTATGATTTATATAAAGTTTCGTATTAATCTAAATTAATCAATTTTCAATTAATAAATTATTTTGTCTAAAAAAAAGTTTAAAATTGATTAGAACTAATCAAGAATTAGATTCAAGAATTATAGTCAATTATCCCAGCATTTCTTAAAGTTAAAAGTATGTACCCACAGACTGTATTAGTTCCCGAAGTCAAGTCTATTGTCCATTTTGATGTCTAGAAATTGCATGTGAATATAATTATTGTGGGTAATATTTTCTCTGTATATATGTAATTGTATTTCTTTTTCCAAATTTAATCTTTAAAATTTTGATTAATATATAATTTAGTTGTTGAATTATATAATTTTTAAAGATTTGATATTTACAAAAAATTATGATGAAGTATTTAAATTTTACTTTCATCAAGTATTTTATATTGGTAACTATCATGATTAATCAAAATATTAATGTGATAAATATTAATCAATAAAAATATATTATCTGTCACGATGTTATTAGTTATTTTTTATTATATCAGCTTACTGTTAATAGAATTTATGTAAGGGATAAAATATTTGATAAAAACAAAAAAAAATCAGATATTTAATCATGAATTTTTTTATAAATATAAAATTTAAAAATAGACCAAATCACACGTTAATCCTTAAAAAACTACATTATTTAAGAAAATGGAAACACAATTTTTGTTCTTGAAAGGAAGTTTGTTTTGTCAAGGAATTATGCCACGAATAGAAGGATCGAACTTTAATATTTTCTTGGTCATGATAGTTGGTGGAAGACTGTGAACAATTCCTTACTTGATGTGACATTCAAAATTTGGAAAAAAATTTTTGGCAGATTCATTGAGAAATACGGCACTCACGTCATTGTGGGGTTAAGCATAGGTGGCCAAGATGTGATTTTGGTTAGGCAAGACAAATCTTCAAACCTCGAGCCTTCACAGCTCAAGAAACATCTGGATGACCTTGGAGACCAATTATTTACAGGGTCCTGCAAGTTTACCCCCAAAACCAAAGAGCAAATGCAAAAGGTTACATTTATCATTTTTTTTAATAAAAAAATTAATACTTGTTCATTATTGTTACAGTTAACCTAAACTTTTTGTCCTAATTAACTCTTTTATGCTTGTACAGGTACCACAGGCTTTCAATATCTTTGATCCACGACCTGTTGCCTTCAATGGCTACCGCTCTATCAGTGCCAAAGATGTAGGTTCCACTATAATTTCTATTCATTTGTTGTACTCTACGAAATTTTTTAACTTCACAAATATAGTTAAGAAATCATTTTATTTGTTCGAGTCTAAAAATTTCACTGTTGGTGGCATTATAATAAAATATGTGTGGTAACATTATTGGCTAAGAACCGGTAGCTAGGTCAATTAGTGTAGATTAGTTTGCTTGAATACTAATATGAGGTTAGTTATATATGAAGTTACAATGGAAGTGAATGGGTTTTGCAGGGAATCATTGTTATATGTTTAAAGAGGGGAGGTGACACGGAAGCTAATAGCCATTGTGAGTGGCTTCCAACAGTTGCAGCAATGCCGGATGCCATACACTATAGCTTCATTCCCATCACTTCTCTACTTAAAGGTGTCCCTGGCAAGGGTTTCTTATCACATGCCATTAATTTATACCTTCGATGTAAGTTTCTATTCCTGGTATTATTCCTGGTATGAACGTAACCAAAGCCTTATCAGGGTAACTTAAATTTTTAAGATTATTATGATCTTGAACTCAACAATGAATGTTATGTCAACCTAATTGGATCAATGATACACGGGTTACAAGTGAAGATTGGATTTTCATATTTCAAATAATAAATTTTCGAAAATTTTCGAAAATTTCAAACTGAATTATATTCATGTGTTTCAATTTTTATGTAAATGCAGACAAGCCTTCTATAAATGATCTACAGTACTTTCTTGACTTCCAAGGACAAAAGATTTGGGCTCCAATTCACAATGACCTTCCACTGGGTCCTTCCCCAAATAGGTCTTCTTCATCACCAGCTCTTCACTTCAACTTATTGGGTCCCAAACTCTATGTAAACACTTCTCAGGTAGTAGCTAGGTACATCTATCTTGATAATTGGTACTTAGGATTGTCAAATATGGCAGTGCTTCTAACATATTTCAATCCAATTTGTCATGTTTCATACCTTGGAAAACAACTAACATGGAGCTCTGATATCAGGTCACATTAGGGACGAGACCAGTCACTGGAATGCGCTTGTATCTTGAGGGCATGAAAAGCAATAGGTATTCACCTTGGGCGAATGATTAAATGGCGTTTTCTTCAAAAGTAAAATTCTGGTTTTCTTAAATTTTCAATTTAATTAATCTCTCAGGCTAGCTCTTCACCTTCAATATCTATCGAATCTACCAAAAACATTTGAAAACAAGATAGACGACATACGATACTGGCAAGCATCAGAAGATACAGCTGATGTTCGATTCTACGAAGCTATCCATCGCAAAAGGTTTTCCCATATATGCACAGCCCCAGTTAAATATAATCCGAAATGGACTGCTGGCAAAGATGTTGTCTTCATTGTCACAGGCGCTCAATTGCATGTAAAGAAACATGATTCCAAGAGTGTTCTCCATCTTAGACTGTTGTTTTCCAAGGTGTCAGATTCTTTCCTAGCGCAGTCAAGTTGGGCACAAGCCGCCTCAGGATATTCCCAAAGGTCTGGTTTGCTTTCAGCCATAAGTCAATCCTTAACAGGCAACCCTGTCAAGGAAAAGGAGGTGAAGGTTGTGGTGGATTCCGCCGTGTACCCAACAGATCCGCCGGTGCCAGTTCAAACACCAAAGCTATTGAAGTTTGTAGAAACCTCGCAATTATGCAAAGGGCCTCAAGATAGTCCAGGATATTGGCTGGTTACGGGTGCCAGGCTACAACTGGAGAAAGGAAAGATAAGTCTTCATGTAAAGTTTTCTTTGTTAAACATATGTTAGGCAATAAATAAATAAATAAATAAATTATAGCAAAAGCCCAGCCCAAGCCTATCCATTTCCCTCTTAAAGGGAATCAATCGAGATTTAAAATATGATATAATAATTTAATATAAATATGATATAAATAAAATATATATATAAAAATAATATAATTTAAAATTTTAATAATTATTATATATAAATTTAATAAAAATTTAAAAAATATATTTTATATTTTTATACCAACATAAATTATAATATATAATTTTTATATAAAATATAATACAAATATATAAATTTTAATATTTTATATAAAATAAATATATAAATTTTGAGTATCTCTTAAATAAATTAATATGTTATTAAAATTAAAATTTTAAAATTACGAGTAAAATTTTAAAATAAAAAATCACGAATATATGAATCACAATTTCATGTCAAAATTGGCTACCAAGATTCAGGTTTAACACTGTCTGTGTATGGACGCCGTCGCTGTCTTTGTCTTAGGGAATTAATTAAAATAAATAGAATTTCATCCTGAAATCATCAAAATCCTTTTTCATGTAATCCATGGACCTTTCCTTCATCGAAAGACGCCCCGGCCTGGCTTTGCCAATTGCCACATTCGTCTTCAGCTCAAGATACTCCATGTGTTTCTCAATTGAAGAAAAAGTAAATGTATAAAAATTAAAAAGAAATCAAAAAAAGTGAGCAAAAAGCCATAATAATTGCTATCGAATGCTTATGGGGATTCCCACTGTTTCTGAAATCCAATATCTGCAATCAAGAATTATGCATCATCTGTACTGTAATAAAATTCACTTCATACAAAAAAAAAACCAACCCTTTTAGTTTTTCTTCATTGCTTTGCTGCCATTGCTGGAGGTCTAAGCTAATCTTGTCTCTGAACAAAAGGAGAGAATAAACAAAAGCAAAAAAACCTCACACACCAGAAATTTAAATAAAAAATGGTATGAAAAGGAAAAACTAAAAAAGGTAACAGTAGAACAGCAGTAATAGCAGTAGCCAAATTTGTAGTTTTTAGTGAGAGAGAAAAAGGCTAATCAATTAAGGCTTCGTCGGAAAGTTGCCCACAAAAAGGTAACTTCCCTCCCTCTTCACTCCTCTCCTTTACTTTTTTGTGTTTTTCGCCAAATATACAAGTTGGGTTTTTGATGAGATGAAACGAAGAAAAAAATTCTATGCCTTTGATTGTCAGATGATGATGAAGAAGTAAGTTTTTCACATTTGAATTTGATTTGGGTTTCGGGTGAAGTGGATTTTTTTTAGTGAAATTATGTGAAAAGAAAAACAATGACAACAGAATCAAACACTGGGTTTAGGAAGATTCATCATGAAGATAGTTTAGGTTCTATTATGAATTGGCACGCTATATCTTTCCGATCAACTGCTATTAACAGTAGTTCCGAGATGATTTCCAGTTACTTTGCACCGCCGTCCATGATCTTGGCTAGAAATTCCAGTATTATTACCACCTGCCCGGCCTTAGTCCAACCTGGAAACTCCTCTGTCTCTTCCCTCCTTCTTGATTCGGTTGCAGGGCTCAAGCATGATGCAGGGTTGGCTGTTGAATGGTCTGTTGACGAACAGTACATATTGGAAGACGGCCTTGAACAGTATGTCATAATTAATTCTTTCTTCTTCCTTCCTTTTATTCAAAGTGTTTTGGAGACGTATTCGGTTTCTTACTGTATATGACTATATGCAAGTGTTATAATTCTGTCCTACTAATGAAAGCAATATAGTAGAATTGATCATAGTTAATAATAAGTTATAGATTCTAATATTGTTTTGAGTTTTATCATAGAACTATTAGGTATGTCTTGTTTCCTAAATGAATATTAAGTGCTGTTTTTCATTTTCAATGTTAATGTATATAGATATAAAGAGGAACCAAATATTATGAAGTACATAAAGATTGCGGCTACCTTGCCCGATAAAACTGTACGTGATGTTGCATTGAGGTGTAGATGGATGCAAGTAAGCTCCTTGCTTCTTTAATGATGCATTTCTAGCACCTTTGTGCTAATTATTAATTTTGATATGCCGGTGGAAATGTTCAATTAACGAACCTTGTACATGATAATCAATTACTAAAGAGAGGTTGGACCAAAATGCACCTGCTTAACTAATTTTGCTTATTCTTAATGCATTGGAATTTGATGTACTTGGTCATATTTTGCATATTCTCTATTTAATTCTCTATATAAAGCTACTGTAGTAAATGTCTTATGTTAATTGAATCTTTTTCTACCTTGAGACTTTGTTATGTTTTGATCTATCCCCAAGTAGGCCAAAATGGTTTATTGAGCAAGTTGGTAATTAATTTACAGCTTTTCCCCCATTAAAACAGTAGCAAAAAAGCTACTGGCATCTATTGCTCCCTCCTATTTTGAAGATGCTGCTAGCTGCCCGTTGTTTTATCGCATTTTTGACTGGTTGGGTATAGATTATGTTGTCAAGAAATGTGGGCTACTATTGACATTGATTGTAGAAAGTGAAACTCAATCAATCTGTTCTTATCCTTTTATTATTTTTATTTATTAGATGTTATATTGGCATATTTAAAATTATCTGTAGATTTGTCTGTTTTAAGAGATAAAGGTATTGTTGGAAAAATGGCAGAGAAAGAGGAGGAAACCTGAAGAACATAATGGAGGAAAAAAGGTGAACAATAGGAAGGTATGCTGATGAATTTTTCATAATTTGTGCAACACTTAATATTGATTACTTATTTCCTTGACCACCTAAAAGATTTTAAACATGTTAGTTAAATTTCTTGAGAAGAAGCTCATAGAATTGTACGTCCTATGAGAATGCAGATTTACTTTGTATAAAATGGTTTTCATCATCAACATCGACAATAACAAACACTTTGTCTGTTGTGAAGTTTTTGGTTTTTTATGCATATCCTGCTCTGTTACTTATGTTTTGGCCATTTTTATATAAGTTGGATTGAGGTTATCATATACTTAATTACTGAGTCATAATGTTGGATTTATTAATGGATATGATTGTTCATATGTTTAATAACCATTGTTTCCCTAGTCACGGCATGTTGACATGGGTGCTAGAGGGCAAAATATTGATGTTCAACAGCTCACGACCTCTTCTTAAAACATTATGACTGGCTAATATAAGACTGAAGGGTTTGAATTTGGATAATGGAGCCCAAAATTTAAGGCTTGAATTTGGCAAGGAAACCAAGATTCTTTTTTTTTCATCTTTTCGAGTGAACATGTTTATGTAAATCCCAATTTGTAAAATATGTAAAATTTTCTCATGGAAAAATTATAGGAGGGTGGAGGAGGGAGTCTAGATTTTAAGATAGGGATTCTGTTTAGGGTGCATGGACTTGTGATAAGTTCTTTGGTTATTAGGTTGAAGTGTGATTAATATTTGATACACGTTTGGAAAGTGCTTTTATTGGATTGAAAAAAATAAAATAAGTTTGCTAATGTTTATAAATACTTCATTCTATAAATCTGGCATTTGGTATCTCACATTGCACTAGAAACTACTATAAAATCTTCACTTAAGAATTTTTCATGTTTATACTTCCATTCCTTGTTCAAGCATATTTGTCAAACACATTAGATTTGACAAGCATACGAATGTAAAATTTTGTGAAAAATACCATTAAACTACATTGGAAGGTGAACATAGCATGAAAACATGCTTTAAATGCCAAGCTTATTTTTATTTCGTTCTTAATGAATCTGAATGAGTTAATATAGCTTTGGTCTACCATTCACTCATTTATTTACTAAGCCTAAAAATCATTTTCAAAGTGATTTATTTAGCTAAATAAGTAAGCTCAGATGAATCTCTATCCAACCTTGTTCACTAATTCTGTGAGCACACTGGTTCTCTCACACCTTGGGCTGTGAGACACTTATACTTTTGTTGGAAGGAATTACATTTTTCTAAATTGCATTCTTTTGTTTCAAGTTGAATTACAAACAAAACAGCTAATTATGATAAAAAATTAACATTAACTAAATTCGCTGTATCTCAATTACTAAGTTGAATGCCATAACTGGAATTCCTGTTTTAATTTCCTGAATCAATAGGATGCAATGTGATTGAAGAACTAGTATTCTAAAGATCATAATTCTTCAGGATAAGCTGGTGGAATCATCTTCAAAGATGAATAAGCCTTCAGCTCTGCTGCAAAACATGGCTGCATATCCTCTCATGATGAACCATCTGGACCAAAATGAAAGAATGGCTTTTGAAGGTTTTGTATTTTATATTGCCACCAAGAAGTATTGATATCTTTCTTTCAGTTGTAATTGCTTATAATTAAAATCTTTCTATCAGTATTTATCCACATCTCCCTTTTCTATCATCTCAAGTAATGTAAGGCAAACTTTGGTAATCTTCCAAAATTGATGTTTATGAGGTTTGGGTTTAAGAAATTAGGTTTTGGGGGTTTTAGTAGTAGTATAAAGTGGGTTACGGTTGATAATGAATTAGGGATGGAGAATTGATGGGCATTAAATATCAAATTGTTGCTGAAATTATGAGATTGGTGAATTTTTTTCTTAATAAAACCTTGTTTAGTTTGTGGTGAATTTTTAATGTTTAATCTGCAAGTTATGTCTACTTGTGCTATATTGATAGTGGTTGAATTTGGATAATGCAAATTCCTTGTATACTGGTTTGTGGTTAAAAGCTTTGGTTGATGTAAATCTACTCGTTGTGTGTTTTCAGGAATAAGTGGTAAAACTATGCATCTTTTGAAGCAAAATGCTCAAGCTTTTAGTAAAATCACATTCAATCTTTCTGCATACAAGGTGAGTGTATCATACCCTAGTTCATATCAATTCTTTTATTTTCAATCTGCAATCATACAGAAAATAATAGGTGTTAGATGAGATGAATAACTTGTCTTCTTGTTTGTGCTACTTTTTAATGGTTAGTCTGCAGGTTATGTTAGTTTTTGGTGTAAATGTCTGAGAGGATAAATAAGGTGATAACAATTACTTTAATTGATGAATGTTGATGGCATTAGAGTGAGAATTGGAAAAATATATATCACTGATGAAACTAGGAAAAAAAAAATTCCAGATTTATCATCTTTGTCCAAAATGTTTTAGCTTCATTTACAACTGATATAAGGTGGCATATGAGATATCTTTAATTTCAACCAATACGGTTATTTGTTAGGATTATAGAACATAGCAGTAATCTGGCCCATATGCTTCTAGTTGTGCTTTATTGTTTCATGCTTTTGCACTTCTAGTGGTGTATACCCTATTTGACAAGAAATAAAAAATGTAGTCTGCATCTACTGCTGGGCACTGCCGATTGTTGTCAAATGCACCTCTTGTCTCTCAAAGGGTATGTGCTCAATCTATTCTTGTTCTTTTTAATGTGCTCTTGTAAATCTTGCATGTGATTGCCTCATAGTATATATGATTCTTGTTAACAGTCTTCTCAGGGTGGTTTATTAAGTAAAGCTTATATGAACAGTTACAGGATAACATTGATCTCTTTTTTCACGCAAGGAACAATATTACCGCCATCCTAAATGAGTACGTGGGTGTCCTTTATAATTATCAATTAGTGATTAATGCCCTCTGGAAAGCACTTTGGTTATTTCTTGGGTTTCGTCAGGTTATTAAATTCTACAATGACTTTTTGCAGCATGAGAGATATGCCAGGTTTAATGAGCCAGATGCCACCACTGCCTGTATCTATTAATGAGGATTTAGCAAATAGCGTCTTGCCTGGTGCAACTAATATCTTGCCTAGTGCAACTCGGGTAGGTTCTCATTTAAATTTATTCAGTTTGCATGTGCTGGGTTGGATGGTTAGAAAGGTAGGATCATTTAAACAGCCATAAGCTAAAAAATTTGTTCACTTTATGGGATCTGTCATCAACTTTATCTAATTAAGGTTTCATTCGAAGCCTATTTTATGTTGGTTGAGAGTGGATCCTTTCCAGGTTGACCTGAATGTTCTCTTATATTATGTTATAAATAAGGGTTTAAATTCAACCAGGACTAGGTGTAAAACAAACCCTCCAATGGATGCATGCCACATTAGACTTTTAAACTTTCAAAACCAAATGGTAGCTTACTGTAACGTTCGTGCCTTTATCTCGTTGTTGATGACTTACAACCTGGTATCTAGTAATTCTTGGTGCATGTTAGTTCATATGAATCTAGTACTTAACTGTAGTATAGAATTCTGTTGCTCTTGACATTTGGACAAAGATGGAGCGGCTGGTGGAGGGGTTGAATTTTGGACCTCGAGGTCAACCCTCCATACCTTGTACTATCAGCTAGTGTAGATTTAATGGCAGGAAAGTGGGAAACTAGCTGCCCAACAAGGCAATAGGTGGTCTGGAAATGTTTGAGCAAATGAGCAATGATTACTCATTGATCCACTCGAACACCATGAGAAATTACAAATTTTTCATATGATGCATACTTATGTACTCTGTGTTACCTTGTTTTGTTTTTCCTTCTGTATCCAGTCGATGATTATTGGCTCACCAAGCAGGATTCATCTCAAGCAGGAGCCAAGGTGCTGATAGGGAATTGTTGAGATTGAGGTTGCATGTATCTGGTCAGTGTAATTACAAAAATTTTTCTACTGTAAATGCATAAGAATCTGGTAGGATGCTGTTCTTCCACTTGTGTACAAAAATACTCATCACACAGTCACATTGGGTGCCACAATGGAAAATTTGTAGAGATCCCATTTTTGAAACCTGAAATGGAGATCGCTTATCATCTCCTGGCTTCAGGGATTAAAAAAAAATCTCTGACAGATTTAGCTGAATTTTACATTGAAGCTCGTGTATAATTTATAACTTGCAACACCTTGGAGTGGATCCTTATTTGGTGCTTGATTTGTAATTGCTTATGGTTTGTTATCTTCTTGTTTCAGTATTAGACCAATTGGAATGCTTGATCAGGTCAATTTCACTAAGTTAGGGTTCATTAACTAGTAGTTTTCATTTTTTGTAATCTTTTACTAAGTTAGCACATGTCAATAGAACTAAAAACCCATTAAACCAAACAAATGCCAAACAAAAAAGTAGCTCAACCTTCTACAACTGCAAAAAAATGGGAAAACCTTTCCAAAATGAAGGGTAATTATCACAGGCGGGGTGGTTCAGTATAATGCAGGGGAAAGATGATAATAACAGAGTTGACAGTTGATAGTCAAGCTGACTGCAATGAGCGAGCTCGAGCTGCTGCTCTTTCCAGTGCCTTCAACCTATTAGCTTCCATGCGAGCACGCTGCTCTTCTGTAACTTGATCACTAGAGGTGCCAGCAGCAGCTCTCTCCAGTGCCTTCAGCTTGTTAGCTTCCATGCGAGCTCTCTGTTCTTCTGTGATATGAACTTCACTAGAGCAGCTAGCTCCATTATTTGGCACTTGATGTTCTGGTCCAGAGCTACTGGCTGCAAGTACTTCATCAGCAACTATGTCATGGTGTGTGTCATGAGATGGTTCCTGTGATCAAATGACATGAAAATGCCACAGTTAAACATTGGCACCCCACGTTGAACAGTGGCAACAATCTATAACAAATATATATCAACTAGTTCTCTGGCAACACTGTCATACAATTCCCAAGGAACTTTGATCCAGTGATGAACTTGTGAAAGTTTTGTAATGGGAAAAAAAAGGATTTTCAAGAAACCAAATGAAAAAGATGGACTGCATTTAACACACATAAAAAAAAGAACAGCAGAGATAACAAGAAGTTTGAATGGACTTGAAAAACTCAAAACTCAAGAGCAGTAATCTAATTAAAACAAAAATAAATAAATAAAGCCCATAAGTTTATACATCAGTTTCATCTTTATATATTTTGCTTCAAATTTATAGCAAACATAGTAATGGTTTTTTTTTTCTTTTAACTTAACAATAAAAGGACTCAAGACTACCAGCTATTGACTTCAGAAGTGATTGCCCGATAGGAAAAAAAAGAACATAATAACTTGAAGAACCAAGTTCAAAGGAATATGGTTACCTCAGAAGCTTTCTGGTAAATCTCATTAAGCATATCTTCTTGAATATCATTGACATGATCTCCCTCATAGTGGTCATGAGTTTGCCCATCGGAATGTCTGGCCCCTATGATTTGAATATGCAGAGCTCAGATCCAACAAGAAATTAAAAAAGGGAAATTTTGTTGTTCCCTTTAAGCATAACACAATATATATGCCCCAAGCAATAAAAGTAAAACAAATAAACATGCATGAGCAGGCAACCAACATGGAAAACAATCTGTTTCGAAAAAGGAATGGGACTATTGCCAGCATACCTTGCTCATCACTTGGACCATTAAATTCATCTGGACTTTCATGCAATTTTGTAGGATCCCCTCCTCTAGCAACTCGCTCTCTTAAGTCTCTAATACAATTCTGCCCAAAAGATATTTGACAAACAAATTATGCATATATGTATAAACACTCAAAATCTCAGTTATCTAGAGGATCAACCACCTGAACCTATACAAGCAGAAGTTAAAGCATATTCCGGGCACATTATGGGATTTAAGTTTACAGTTTTCCAAACGCTGCAACCTCTAGACAAGCAGAGGTTCAAGCATGTTCAGGACACATTATGGGATTTAATGGGATTTAAGTTTACAGTTTTCCAAACGCTGCAACCTCTAGACAAGCAGAAGTTCAAGCATATTCAGGGCACATTATGGGATTTAAGTTTACAGTTCACCAAATGCTGCCTGCAGTTTAAGCAAACAATGCAAATCTAGTCTAGATCAACATGGTTTCTCAGCAATGGTTATGAATAGTCAACAATCTCAAAGAAATCTAGTACAACATCTGAAATTCAATTGCTAAAACTCAAAACATATCATAATATCAGCAATCAAAGTTTTAAATCTCAATTGATAATATCTCAAAAATCCAAAGCCATGAGGAACTGAGTCACAGTAAAAACTTGGGGGCTACTCCCTAAGTACCGCAAATTCAGTAATAATTCATCAAATACTAAGTTTTAAGGGTTAAAAGTGAAAAAATGAGATACCTTTACACGTTTGCTAGAAGCAACTTTGTCGGTTTTATGAACAAACTGATCGAAAGAGTAATAAGGGAGCAAGTGCTTGTGCCAATCTCTGTATAACCCAATTAAGTTTCCCAAATCACTGACCTACAAACAAAATTAAAGCTTTATTAAATCCCCCAATAAAGGTACTTATTTTAGGTTCATTTAAAAAGATAAAGCTACCTCGTGACCGCGACCGCGGTACCTAAAGGCCCGAGGGAAGTGGCGAAGGATGTAACCGAAACCATTATCGGAAAGGAGAAGTTCGGGAGTGAGCTTGGGTCGGGTTCTGCTTTTGGGTACTTTCTTGGGCTTTTCGGGTCCAGGAAGCTGATTTGGAGTGAAACTGACGCCGGAGGAGGGAGCCTTGAGATTGGGTTGATCGGATTTAGGGGCGTCGGGGCAGTCACGTGCCCAGTGGCCTGGTCGTCCGCACTTGTAGCAACCTGTCGCGGCCGAATTTGTATTCTCCGATGCGACTCTTCTCAGATTGGGATTGTCGGATTTGGGGTCATCGGGGCAGTCATGTGACCAGTGACCTGTTCGTCCGCATTTGTAGCAACCTGTCGGAGCTGAATTCGCATTCTCCATTTCCTTCTTCTTAGTTCTCCCTGATTTTCTTAGGTTTTTTTTTTTTTGAAGTATTATTTATTTATTTTTTCTATGTTTTATTTGGCGGGAGAAAATGGAGGGAAACCGATTGAGCTTTCGGGCTTGGTTTTTTAATTTGGCATGGGCCGTCATGGATTGGGCTTTAACCTTTTTTTTTTCTAACCTTTTTCAATTAAAACCCGATAAATATTATGGCTATTAAAAATATTTAAAATTTTAAAATGTTAAGTATCCAAAATTTTGATTAAGTGGTTTAAATAATTTCATTTTTTATGCATTAAAAATTAAAAAAAAAATTTAACCCTATAAATTATAAGACTGCTACACGTATCCCTTTTTTCAATTAAATTTTTTTTTATATATATACTAAAAATATATGTCATTTTATTAATTTCGAACTTAAATTTTTATCGACGATAAATAAAATAATTTTTTTAAATAATAAAAATATTACTAATATTTGTGTGTAACGAAGACAAGAGAGAAAAAAAAAATCTTCGTACGAATCATACAGAAATTATAAAAAGTTATACAATTTTATCAATAATGACCAATGTAATGTTTGATTTTGAATAATTGAAGAATTCAATTTCCTTCCTTGTGTTTCTCACCCACATTTCTTTTCTTCCATTTATCTTAACTTCAAATAATTTTATTTTCTCAAATGATTTTTTTCTTATAATAAATTGACCATTTATATTTTGGATAACAATGGACATTTGCCATATAGTTTGTTGGACAACTAACATTTTATTTGGATAAATATTAATAAAAAAAAAAGAAAAAAAAATAAATGTAATCATTGTTTGGATAATTAAAATTAATAAAAAAATTAATAATAATTGTTTGAAGAAATAATGAAAAAAAAGAAAATGATTTATTATAATAATTTTTTTTTTTAATTATAGCCTTTCATTGACTGTAATTTTAAAGCACTTATGAACTATGATTACTATCTTGTTTGACCTCACAATTCTTGTTATATTAATTGTTTTATTTCTTTGTTTATCCTTCTATATAGAAAAAATATTAACAAAAAATATTATTATTGTAAAAATAAATACACTAATACTTGTATGAAAGAAAATAATATTAAAACAAAATTGAATTAAAGAATTTTGATACATGAGCCATTTAACAATAAATCATACATACTACTAATATTAATACTAATATTTATTAATTAATCACATATATTGATTTTTATAATAAAAATTTTTTGAGCAGTATGATATCTTATAAACACATAAAATGTATCTATTTATATTCAACCATTCATCAAAATCAAATCATCAAAAAATTATAAAAAATTTTTATATTAAAAGAGATATATGAAATTTACTTGAAAAAAAGAGATACTTTGAAAAAATTGCAAGATGATTGTAATCTACTTAGATTTTTTTATTATGTTTTTAACATTAATAAAAAGATGGTTATAATAGTCTTTTTATAAAAAAATTTTTTTAACTTTTCTTTTCTTAGCTTTTCCTCCAAATTGAGATATTAAAAAAATTGAGTTTATAAGAGAAATAAAAAATTATTTGTTTCCACATTTTTCTCATTCTTTAAATTAAAAATTTATCCAAATGAAGGGAAATGGGGTTTTGTTTCATTTACTTTACTTTACTTTATTTTCCTTTCCTTCCCCTCCCATCAATCTAAACACATACTAAAGTAAGATATTTTGAATCACCTTAATTTTATTTAAGATACAGTCTAAATTAGGAATATCAATTTTACTCATACCTAATAAAAAATTTAATTTTTTTATTCAAATGGAGATGGAAATAAGTATTATATTTTGGAATAGAGATAATGATGAATATGATTTTAAAATTTTTATTAAGTATAAAGATGTAGACAAATAATATAGCATTTTTCTCGTACTTGTACACATACTCTACATATATATTTATATATATTCAGTAAATAGATTTTTATTAAATAATATAAATTATTATTTCAAATTAATTAAAAATGATATATTTTTATTTAAAATATATATTAAAATATTAACTAAAAAAATACATAAATAAAAAAATTAAAAATTAAAAATAATTAAAAAAATTTTTATTTTATTTTTTTAAAATTATGGTTATTAAAATTATTCATACTTATTAAATACGTGCGAGTATGAGATGAGGATGAATTTGAAATACTCATTAAATGTAAATATAAGAATTGATATAATATAAAAATTCGAATATAAAGATGAAGAATATTCTATCTCACCCATTAGCATCTTTAGTCCAAATCGACTAAAAAATTTTTCTCACAATATTCAAATGAAACATTAATTAAAATTTATAAAAAAGGACAGGAAGAATGGTGCTTGTTTAACCTCTTTAGGCAATTTGATGATGAAGCCTATGTTCATGATAAACTGATAATAATGGTTGACTGATCATATTCCTTTATTTTAATGATTTTACCTTTCAAATGTTTACATATACAACAATAGGGGAAAAAAAAAAAACAAAAGGATAACAGAGTTTAAACATGCTAGAAACTCTGCTATTTTCTTCCAACAAAAATCAACTTTAATGATTGTTGGAATTCACCCAAAACAACAAAATTTTTATAATGTGTATATATAAGTAATTCCTATGTTTGATAGCTTTGCTGAAGGCTGGAGACTAAACCCTCATTGAACCTTTGAAATTGAGGTGTTATATACAAAAACATCTTCCTGCCAATGCAGTTGCCTGTATTGTTTGTATCAATATGAATCAAACTCTTTTGCTTGAATGATTTCATCCCAAATTTTCCATCTGAAATGGGGTTTAGGGTCTGAAAAGTGGGGCGATCACAAATTACCAGACCAGTCATAATTTTGGTACACAATCTTAATAGGGCCTTCATCAGCCAGAAGGTGTGTCAAAAGCCCTGCTCTGGTTGGATCCAGGTAATTCATGACCCATTTGAGGACATCCTTCCCTTGTCCAAAGTCTACGCTAAACCTTTAAGGTGAAAATGCAACAAGTTAAATTCAATCCAATGCATTGTTAAAAGGGTTTTAAGTGTTAAAATTTGAAATCAAAAGCGGTTGGATATCAACTCTAAATTTGAACTGTGAGCTTTAAATTTTTTTCTTTCAATTTTGATGTAAGAAACATAAAGTACTTGGAAAATTGACAATAGTATATTAATTGGAAACTTACCACTTGATGATCCGAGTTAGATAAACTGTTCTTTTGTCCAAATTGATCTCAATTCCTCCACTCTGGAAATATTCCCTGGCAGCACATTTTAGCTCACTTTCAACACCCTGAGCTGTGAAAAACCTCACTGTTGGGCTTGACCTTGTCCCATTGCATAGTCCAAAATGGATAAGTGGATTAACTTTAGTAGGAGCGAGCTGTTCATTTGAAAAAGAAAAACTAGTCAAGCATGTAAGATTTTGAACAGTTAATTTATATAATCATTTTAAAAAAGTGATATTTAATAGGTTTAGAATTCGGATACCAGCATCTGCAACTTTTTCTATTATCTGCTTAATTTGTACCAAAACAAGTGAAAGTTTGCAAAAATATTGTATGAAGAGTAAGCTAGTAGAGCAAAGAAATTGATGAAGTTGGGTTACCTCTAAGCGCCTGTCTCCATTGCTAAGGGGCCTGATTAAGGAATAAGGAGACTTTTGATTGTTTCTGAGGATCCCATTTTCTATAATGCCGAGGGAGTAAGGGTACCCTCCAACTACATAGTGGAAATCACAGAAAAAAGCTCTCTTATCAAGTATTCCTTCAGGATGTCCGATGCTGATTACAGCATGGATGACCATGGCATTGTATAAGTTTAAGAAGAAGGCTAGCCTCTCATCTGGAGTCAGTACTTTGAGATTGATCCTTTGCAGATCTCGAGCCAAATTTAAGTACCTGCATCAACGAAGAGCGACTTGCAAGTATGAATACAAATCTCTATGTATATATCATAACGAATTCTCATAATATTTTCGGCTTGAGATTCATGACAAATGAAATCAAGCAAATAATATTCTAACAGGAAATGAAGAATAAAAAATACCTGCGGAATTCTTCACTTTTGATGATGATATAATAATTAACATGGAGCCTGTCATCAGAAGCATATGCTTCCAGTATGGCAGACATTAACCTGGAAAGCTGATCGGCGAGAAAAGATGCGGATTTGGGTTCACTATCATTTGTTGAAGTTCGAAAGTTGAAGCATCCGATGATAAAGGGCTCATGCTCAAGGAAACGATAAAAATGGTTTCCTACTTCAAAATCATTTTCCCTACACAAAAATTATAATCAAATAATTAAAAAAAAATTATGTCTAAATGAAAGGTATGTTGGAAATTAACGTTTTATAAGATGTAACAGAATGTTCCAACCCAAAGACATGGTGGATGAAGTGCTTCTGGGCCATCCGCTTTGCAGTTTCAATGCCCTATAATTTATGAAGGGTAAAAAATATTAATAGAATAGTAAATTCAATTTCTTAATACAAGGAATTTTTATACAAAAGGATCTCTTTTAAAATAAGAAACCCTAATTCTACAAGGAGTTTTGATTATACTATTTTACAAATCCAAAAGCTTATAATTCATTTAATCGATTAATATTTATATTTGAAAATATATTAAAGATCCAATTATAAGATACACCTTTTGATGAGACAAATTTTTTTATTTGAACTCTCAAATAAACCTTTAATGTATGAAATAATTATTATTCAATTTTATTCATCATCTTATGTATCAAATATAATCTAAAATTATAAAACTTGCAGGAAAACTTGAGTTTGTTCTGCCCTCTTTCTTGTCATTCTTCAAAGTATTAAATAGAAATACTATATATTTGCTTTTGTAAAGATATAGTTCTAACTTGTAGCAGCAAAATTTGTTATAATCGTTATGCTTCAACATTATGTTAAGTACTTGTACACACGCATCTGATAATTCTAACCTAACTTTAAGATATATCCAATTACGAGATACAAAGCCCATAACTATAACCTAAGAATTGTTGCTGTCCACTATTATTAGTGCTTAAAACGTGGTGTTCTTTCCATCTCGTATCGATTGTTTGCATTTGATTTTCACATGGTTTTAAAAAAAACTTTTACTTTGATAAATTTTAAAAAAAAAGAAGGAAGAAAGTAAACAAATTACCTTTCTTCGTCCACAGTCAAGGTGGTTAATGATGGCTTCCACCATATCAACACCAGCAAAGCAATTCTTGACAACCTTCATCTTAATCAAACGGTCCTGAATAGGCAAGCTCTGTCTCAGAAACTTCACAATCCCAACCAACTCATCTTCTTCTTCTTCCTCATCATCAAATCCATAAACTGGTATTGCAGGCACTCCCTCAGGACATTTCTCACCCAACAATTCCTTCATTCTCTTATCCAACTCCCCGCTATTTCTCAGTGAATTCAACGTCACCAACGCACCGATCAACTTCTCGTTAAAAAATATCTGGGGCACTTCGGAACTCCCTGTTCTTTCGATCAACTCCTTGGCCCTTTTGGGGAATACGTCGATGTTTATTTCAACGTATCGAAGCCCTTTGTCTCTGAAAAACTTACGAACAGCTGTGCAGTCACGACAGTTTGACCTAGTGAAGAACGTTATCTGACCTCTTAACTCTTCTCTTTCGTCTTCGCTTTTCAGCTTTACAATGACTTTGACCCCAGGGATTTTGAACTCCGTTACTTCGAAGTTTAGTGAATCGTTTTTCACGATGAAATCCCCGTTGTCTTCTTTTAAAGATGATAAGCGTTTGATGATTGCTGCTGAGAAACTGCTGCTTCGGTCTCTTATATATTTCCCTATGGAAGGCATGGTTTCGGCCAAGGACAAGGATTGTGAACGTTCCACTTTTGGCTGTGGTGGCTCGGCTTTTGGGAGTTGAACTTGAGCCTTGATGGCTGGCATGTGATGATTATGGCCATTACCATTGGTTTGAGGATCAACCCCCTTACCATTGGAGTCCTGGTTTTTGTCATTCGAATTACAATCTTCCCTGCTTTTCTCCATCTCGACATCACAGAATTCTCCTCCATCTTGATCATCCGACACGGCTGTTCCATTCACCTGGCCGTTTTCGCCACCATTGGGGTTATCCTTCTGATCCTTTGGATCCATTTCTATTTGATTCATTTCTGAAAGGAAAAGAAAATGAAAAGAAACCAAGATATAACAAAGAGAAACGAGCAAGGAGAATCAGAGCGACGCAAACGGAGATATTTAAATATAGATAAGATGGAAATTGGAAAAAAAAAACTAAAAAAAATTTGAAAATTGGGTTTGAGGAAGAGGTCAAAAGACGTGAAGACGGAGACTCCTTTTTGTTTGGTCAGAAATACTTACCCAAAAACAATGGTGGCATATGAGTTTTGAGTTAAGACTGACCGATCCTTCATGGAAAAACATAGACTTTGGTTCCCAATTTTCCCGTATTTTAAGTTGAAATGACTTGGGCTCAGTCAAATGCATTTACAAAAAAATCCATTCGCTTTACTTAGAAATAGATTTGGCAAGCCAACCTGAATTCGTTATCTTATAAGATTTTTCCTTTTTTGAAATTGGGTTTTGGATCAACTTAAATTTTTTAAGAAAAAAATAAGAATCAAATTTTAGGTAAATTCATATTACCTAGTATATATATATATATTATTTTTTATTATTTATTTAATTTTATATTTATATTTTATTAATTTTAAATTGAATAAAATTAATTGCAATTTTATATATATACAAATCAAATCAAATTTAAATATTTAATATATAAAATTAAATCGAATTTGATGAAAGCAAAAAATTGGTCACACTATCATTTCTACTTAGAAATATGATTTGGGGGAATAGGTCTTTCATCCGTCCACGTGGCATTGGTGGAATCGGACCAAGTTTGAGCTTAGTTTGAAAAATAATTGAATTACTCGAATTTAAAATAAAATTTTAAAATATGTAAATAAATATTATATTTTTATTTATAAATGTATGTAATATAAAATTAATAAAAATTACAAATCATTACAATTTTGAGTCTGTGTAAAGCTTAGGACCTACAAAGGGGATTTAGCCTAAAATATAATATTTTTGTCCTTGGGCCTTTTAAGGGCATCATGAATGAAGGAAAAATTGTCTCAAATTGGAAAACAAAAAAATCCATGTACTAAAGTAGGAAAAAGCCCAAAAATTAAGGTCCATGAATGAAATTAGTGCTAGAAAGGTCCATGTCACTAAAAAAAAAAATAGTTTCAGGATGTGATTCTATTAGGATTAAAAGGAACAAGAAAGCCCAAAATGAGGCAGATTAGCTACTTCTTTTTTGGACAGCATCTAGGTTGGCCTCAAGGCGTGTTTTGTTCACCTCGAATTCGATTTTATCAAAATTTTTTTTGTTTTTTTATATTCGAATTCGATTCGATATTATGTAAACCGAACTTGACCCGATCATACTTGAAATTAATAAAATATTATTTTTTAAATATAAATATTTAAAAATATCATTATATAAATAAAAAATTAAATAATTAATTAAAAAATATTTTTTTATATAATGTCGGATCAGGTTTTAGGCAAACTCGAACCTGACCTGACTCGACCCTGATTGTTCCCTAACTTTATCCGACCCGACTCGAAACTCGAATTTCAAAAAAAAAAAACTTATCCCATAGAGTCGAGTCGAGTCGAAACCCGTCAGGGACAGATTTGATTGCTGTCCCTAACTATATCCCAAGTTAGAACTTAATTTATAAATAAATTTAAAAATTAATTTAATTAATTTATTCATTTATTTTTAAGAAATGATATTTAATTTTAAGATTTGAATCTTAGTAACTATAATTTTTTTTTTATTTTTATGCTATTATACAAAAAAAAAAAAAACCCTAATTTACATGCAAATCCAAGTCAAGTTTTCGAATATTCAAATCTAATTTTTTATCAAAATAAATACATGCATTTGTTATTAAATATTTGATAGTAATGTCTTATTTATGGTTATTTAAGTTTCTTTTTGTGTGTAAAAGAGACCAATGTTTAGGGAAAATTAGAGAAATCAAATTTGCAGCTATTGGCCAACAGAAAGGCCATTAGTGGTGAGTCAATTGTTTTTCATTTTCTGATTGAAAACTAAATACTAGCATAAGAAAAATAAATGCAAAATGATGGTTTCCTTTTGTGCTTAATTCTCCATCATTATTCATTAGCACTAGATATCGATTTAGTGCTTGTCATTTCTTTTTCATACTCCATTGGCCCTATGTATGTATTAAAATTTAAAAATTATTAAATATCACTATTTAAAAATAATTATAAAAACGACCCTAATTAATCTTAATTTTTTTTCTTCTCTCTACCTATTACACTAAAATATATGTAGTTGAAGTACCCTTTTTATATTGGAATTTAAGATGTCAATCTCCCATTGGTATGCTTTCTCAAGTGGTTGGTAAACATAAATATTCATTATCTAAGTCTACGTTTTGGATGCAATTGTTATTTTAGTAAAATATAGATAAATTTTAATAAAATTTATATAATATAAAATTTTCATTAAAATTTTTTTAATCATAATTATAATAATAATTATTATTATTTTTAATTTTATTAAAGTTAATTTCACTATCCAACCACAAAGTGATGAATTAAAGGACATCAAATTATCTGATTACTTGTTCAACTTTTATCTTCCTTTTTATTTTTTAAAATAAATAGAAGAAAATTCAATGATGTAAAAAAATATATATTATAATAGTGGCAAGAGGTCGTACTTTTTTATGTTAAAAAAATATAGAAATTGGCATGAATTTGCAAAATCGTAAAAGGCCGCCAACCGTTGTTTGGAAAACTCTACGTCTACGCACGTGTTTTTCCCAAACTTTTGATTTTCCCTCCCCTAACATTTCCTTTCTTTCCAACCGGCTATATCCGGTCACCCCACCTCAATTCGCAATCCTTTATCACCTCTAGCTGACAGCTATTTTTTATTTTCAATATTTTACCTTTAATTTGTATTTATTTTGCTATAAAGTAGAATCTTAAAATCAAAATTATATTTTATTTATTGATGTAATTTTTTAGCTTAATAAGAGAGAAGCTGAATAGAGGTTGAGATGAAAAATTTCTTCCATTTGTAGTGAAAAAGACAATAAAAAAATATATTTGAGATTTAATTTCGAGATGTACTTTAATATTTAAATCAATCAAACGATATAATAAAATTAATAAAAGATAAGAATGTTGCATGATTAATTTAATTTTTATTTTTATATCTAAATTTTATTTAACAGTTATTATTTTTTTAAAAATAATTGTATTTCATAACACTTCTACGTGTACTAAAAATTATGTAAAAAAATTAAAATAAAATTTATTATTTTAACAATCCAAGACTTGACCTAACGATTTGTTTCACTTTTAAAAGTTTGATTCAAGTTTTGAATTTAAATATCTACCAAAAATTTGTTTTTATTTATGAACATTAATTTTTTCAAATTTAAAATTATTTTTTTTTGGGGGAATTTGACTGATATTTTCTAATGCTTTTCTTGTAATTTTTCTGAATTCATTCAAAGTTTATACCTAATTATTCTTCCATTCCATAAAAAAAAAAAAAAAATGATCAGAAGTTAAGATGAAGACTTTTTTTTTTTTTTTTAATATCCAACTAGCACCTGTGATCTGACTGGCCATGCCACCGGTTTGCCGGTAAACCGTTTTATGAAATTAGGTAGATTACCTGAAAATTTCAAATATAATTTCAAACTCGTATAAAAATGATATGAATAAAAAAATAAAAATTATATAATTTAAAATATTAATAAAAATTAAAAATTAATTAAAAATATTTTTATATTAAAATAAATTAAAATATTATTTTTATATAAAATATAATTAGAATATATAAATTATTAATGTTTTTATAAAATGTGAATGTTGAAACTACCGTATATTAAAGGTTGGAGCGTTACTCTCAACTTCAATAGTTACCGTATTCTGCTTGCCATCTGCCAACGGCTTTATTAGCTCGACTCTCTGCTTTGATAGGCAAAACAAAACAAACTTATAAAAGAGAAGCAAGGCAAAAGGCAAAGGCAAGGGCAAAGCCTCTCTTACCATTTGCTCTTGCTCTCTTTTCCCTTCTGACAACTCCCTCTTTCTTTCATTTTCTCTTCACTTCTCCATATCAAAATCAACCCACCCTTTTGTTTTGAGCTTTGATCCTTTAACCGAAGCTCACAATGGCTCAAATAATGAAAAACCATGTCAAAAATCTTGTATTTTGTGGAGGGTTTATTTTATCCTGAACGAATAAAGTTTCTCTCTTTTTGTTTCCCTCCATCTTGGATTTTCTTGGTTGTTGCTTTTGTTAATATGGGTGCTCAAGATTGTTGGGTTCTGGTTGTTGTTCTTGGGTTCTTGTTGCATGCTCAGTTACTCAACTCACAAAACCTGACATGCAATCCATGGGACTTGACTGCACTCCAGGATTTCATGGGCAATTTGACAACTAAACTTGAAGGCTGGCCCACAAATTCATCAACTGATTGTTGCGATTGGGAAGGCATAACCTGTGAACCTCCATCTTCTGGTAGAGTAATCAAGTTGGAACTTTCCAAGAAAAGATTATTAGGCAAATTATCTGATTCTTTGGCTGGTTTGGATCAGCTTAAAACTCTCAATCTTTCCCATAATTTCCTTAAAGACTCACTGCCACTATCTTTGTTTCATATGCCAAATTTAGAGCAACTTGACTTGAGCTATAACGACTTCTCTGGATCAATCCCAGAAAGCATCAATCTTCCTTCAATTCAAGTTCTTGAAATTTCTTCGAATTCCTTGAATGGTTCTCTTCCTTCCCATATATGTGTTAATTCTACTCGAATTTGGTTCCTTAGTTTGGCAGTGAACTATTTCTCTGGTAATATTTTACCAGGGCTTGGAACTTGTTCTTCCTTGGAGGAACTTTATCTTGGCATGAATGATCTCATTGGTGGGATAACTGAAGACATCTTTCAGCTTCAAAATTTAAACTATTTGGAGCTTCAAGGTAACAACTTTGGTGGGAAGCTAAGTCCTGGTATTGCTAATCTCTCTAAACTTGTTCACTTAGATATTTCTTCAAATAATTTTTCTGGAGAGATCCCGGATGTTTTCCGTCAGCTACTGAATTTAAACTATCTTGTGGCTCATTCAAATAAATTTTCTGGTAGAATTCCCACTTCATTGTCCAATTCTCCAGCCATTAATTTGCTAAATTTGAGGAATAATTCATTGAAGGGTTCTATAGATCTTAACTGCTCAGCTATGGTTTCTTTGAACTCTCTGAATTTGGCTACGAATAAGTTTACTGGGCCTGTGCCTGATAATCTTCCCTTATGTAGACAACTGAAAAAAGTCAATCTTGCCCGGAATAATTTCAGTGGCCAAATCCCTGATAGCTTCAAAGAATTTCATAGCCTCTCTTATCTTTCCTTCTCGAATTCGAGCCTTCAGAATCTTTCCTCTGCTCTTCAAATTCTGCAGCATTGTAGGGAGCTAACTGCTTTGGTCCTCACCTTGAATTTCCCTAATGAAACATTACCTGATAATCGTAATCTGCATTTTGAGAAGTTGAAGGTTCTGGTCATCGCAAGCTGTAGACTCGAAGGTTCAATTCCCCAATGGTTGAGAAATATTACTGCTTTGCAGTTGTTGGATTTATCATGGAACCATTTGACTGGTATAATTCCACCATGGTTTGGAAGCTATAGTAATCTTTTTTACTTGGACTTATCAAACAATTCGTTTACTGGAGAGATCCCAAAAAGTTTAACTGAATTACCAAGCCTCATTCATGGAAACATCTCACTGGAGGAGCCTTCGCTAGATTTTCCTTTCTTCATGAAAAGGAATGAAAGTGGGGATGGATTGCAATATAATCAAATTTGGAGTTTTCCACCAACACTTAAACTTGGTCACAACTTTCTTAGTGGACCAATTTGGCCAGAGTTTGGGAATCTGAAAAAGCTCCATGTGTTTGATTTGAAGTTCAATAATTTATCTGGATCAATTCCGGCAAATTTGTCTGGGATGATCAGCTTGGAGATTCTGGATCTATCGCATAATGACTTATCGGGGACCATACCATCTTCACTGGAAAGTCTCAGTTTTCTGTCCATATTTAATGTTGCCTACAATCAGCTTTACGGGAGGATCCCTTCTGGACGTCAATTTCTGACATTTCCAAATTCAAGCTTTGAAGGAAACAATCTTTGTGGTGATCATTGGTTCCATTGTCAAGATACTACTAGTGAAGATCGTCATGAATCCCCAAAAAGATCTGGAAGGAACAAAGATATCATAATCGGAATGGTTGTTGGAATCATATTTGGGACAGCATTTCTGCTTGGCCTTACGTTTTTGATTGTCTTGCGTGCACATAACCGCAGTGAGGTTGATCCCGAGAAGGAGGAGTCTGACACCAATGATCAAGATTTGGAAGAACTCAGTTCAAAGCTAGTGGTCCTCTTCCAAAATAGGGAAACCTACAAAGAGCTCTGCATTGATGACCTTCTGAAATCAACCAACAACTTTGACCAGGCAAATATCATTGGTTGTGGTGGTTTTGGCCTGGTTTACAGAGGCACCCTCCCTGATGGTCATAAAGTTGCCATTAAACGGCTCTCTGGTGATTGTGGTCAGATGGATAGAGAATTCCGTGCTGAAGTTGAAGCACTTTCAAGAGCTCAGCATCCAAATCTAGTCCATCTACAAGGGTATTGCATGAATAAAAGTGACAGGCTCTTAATATATTCTTACATGGAAAATGGTAGTTTGGACTATTGGTTGCATGAGAAGGTCGATGGACCATCCCCGCTAGATTGGGAGACAAGGCTGCAAATTGCACAAGGGGCTGCTAGGGGTCTAGCTTATTTGCACCAGTCATGTGAGCCTCGTATTCTTCACAGAGATATAAAGTCAAGTAACATTCTGTTAGATGAGAATTTTAAAGCCCACTTAGCGGATTTTGGTCTTGCAAGGCTCATACTTCCCTATGATACCCATGTAACCACTGATCTGGTAGGGACATTAGGGTACATTCCTCCCGAGTATGGGCAAGCTTCTGTTGCTACCTATAAAGGTGATGTGTACAGTTTTGGAGTTGTGCTTTTGGAGCTTCTGACTGGAAAAAGGCCAATGGATATGTGCAAGCCTAAAGGATCCAGGGATTTAATCTCTTGGGCGATTCGTATGAAGATGGAAAACAAGGAGAGCGAGGTTTTTGATCCATTTATCTGTGGCAAGCAGCATGAAAAGGAAATGTTGCGGCTTCTTCAAATTGCATGCCTTTGTTTAAGTGAAAGCCCTAAAGTTAGGCCTACAACTCAGCAACTAGTTTCTTGGCTTGATAAAGTCAACCTCAACCTCCAGCTTGGTAATGAAACTATGGAAATCTCCGGTTGTACAGCTAGAAATATTTCTTCTGGATCCATTGTTGCAGAAGCTCAGATAGAAGCAGCAGAAATTGGTAGTTTTTCATAATAATGTCATCCTGTTGTAATTATTTCTCCACATATGTGGCCTATCAGATTTTGCTGCTCTCCAACATGGAGGACAGGGAGGGGTATAACAGAAGCAACAAACATTTTTATCACAAACTTTGTAAGTTTTCACGTTCAAAGTTTGTTTCTTACCTCAGGCGACGATAAAATGTTTGTTTCAAACATATAAAAAATAAAATTTCAACTTTTTGTATGTAATGGTGGTTGATATGAATTGAGAAAATTTTCTTCTAATCATGTTTACCGACCATCATGCATGTAAAGGCATGCTCATTTCTGGCTTAATTGCATTACTAGTGGTAGTTATTAACTAGCACTATGTTAATCCCAAATGCAAAGCTCTCATGTTGCTCTGATTTCAAATCATGTCGAATGTCCATGCTGTTGCTACATTTGCATTGGACTTTAGATTTGGGTTGTTCTGCCTACACAACAGGAACTGGACAGTGAGAATTTTAACAGTGCTGAAAAAATATTGGATTGTGATGTCTCAACAATATTGTTTGCAAGTTTTTACTGTTCTGCAATTGGAATCTATTTAGATAATTCGAGAACAAATAGAGTGAATGACATGAATTTCTATTTTTGAGATAAATGGTCATACATATACTCCATATTATTTATATTTAGTGAGAATTTGTGGTTCCAATGGCGTTGGTTGCATGCAATGCAATGCTATCAAATAAAATCACAAGCTGCAAAAAAAATCAAACCATTTGACATTTATAAACACCAAATTCTTGGTCAATAAGGTGGAATAGAAGAAATTTGTTGGTTCACCATACGTTTTTGAGGACAATTTTTGGTGAATTTTATAGTAGACTAATGGCCAACCAGTTCCTAATTTTGTCATTTGCATATTTGACTTATCTGTCTCATTATTAACTGAAAATTATACTAAATTTTCAACGGTGGCGGGTCAATTCAGGCAGGGACATGCTTTTGCCATCCAATAGTTGATTTTTCTTTTGGGGAATCGTCAAATTTTATAGTCTCATTCTTGCATATGATTCTTTTCACAATACACATATTAGTGCTAGCAAAGTCAAAAATAACACCAAAAAGACATGAGTGACTAAGCAAATGTGGAGTGATCTAGATCAATGACTTTTGAATCTAGATTTTCATATTCTCCTGTCAATTTATGACCATGGGGAAAAAATTGGCATATTTGCATTTAAGTTACGACCTGCTATATTTTATTTTGATTTTTTTTTTCCTCTCTGGGATGCCTAAGAAGAAAAGTGAAGTTCCATTTTTCCTTTTTCTTTTTCCTGGTCTTCAAAGATTTCTGAGCTTTGAGGGTTTGCACTTGGCACAACTTCTGGACAGCGTAAAGAAGCATTATTTTCTTTCTTTGCTGATTCTGATTTTCTGAATTGAGATCAGCAAAAATTTGTTTATTCAACAAGAACATTGATTGTGGTGGATTGGATCCAAGAAAGGAAAAATATGTGCTTTCAATTCCATAACTAGACAGCACTCAAACCCTGGATCTGACAGCAATATCAAAGCACTAGTTTCATTTCTTACGTGGCAAAACCATCACAATTCTAGACCTTTATGTCACAAGCATCCATGCTTGTCCAAATCTGTTGTAAGAAGAATTCAATGTTTGAATCATTTGATTCATGTAGTCAAAGAGATGACATCTAATAGGTATGAGATTTAAATCTCAACACCTATAACCTCTTTCTCTATCTTAGATTACGGCATCTTAGTTAAAAACAAATCTGTCTAACGAAAAATTGCTCCTATTATTTTCTGTACAATGTAAAAATGTCAAAAGAGCTATTTCCTGTCACAGAGCAGAAAAATTGAGCAAATATTTATTAACTCAAATCTCAGCATTGAAATCAAGCTTTAACTAAGATTGTCAGATGATTAAAGGGTGCTACAAAGACTATCCTAACCACTTTGTTGGAACGATTAAGAGAAAATATTGATAGGATTTTCTAGTCTCATTGGATCCTAGATAAGCTGGTTAGCTAATTATTTGCTTTTGTAGCCTAGCAAATCAAATGCCATTTTCCACAATATCATCATGATAAATGATTCACAAAATACAGTACTCCTTTCTTGTAAATACCTCCTCACATTCATGCACCAAAACATTCGATAGTTTTAGTCCAAGATTTAGAGAAAAAAAACATAATGCTTAATTCTATTTATTCAATGTGTTTTGGCAGCAATTGGTGATTTGATGGATATATTGCTTCCTTATCAGGTAAAATCATTCTCGAGCAGAAGCACAAATTCCAAGTCACTCTAACAAAACAAATTACAATAGAAACAGTTGATCTGACTTTTCGAATTACCAACACCTAACTCAGTTGACAATCTTTGGCAACCTCTATCTTCGGTTGCACATGCATCCAAGTCTGTCTCAGGGGCTCAAAAGAATGAATTCCAAACACCCCACTGAATTGACAGGACAGTCACCAGCATCACCAACCATCACCGATCGATACCTAAACTGTCAAAGTTTGAACTCACTAAACATTCAACAGAGATAGGTATCATTGAAATATTCTTACAGCTGCAATGAGATTGAGTCAAACTACATAAAATGTAATGATGCAATCACACTTTTGCTTTTAAGTTGAATTGTAAATAATCCTTGATAAATAGTGAGATATATTCCTCATGAATACGCAGGCATTGAGCAGGGGCCTTCCCGAGGTAGTTTATCAGCTAGATGAGTGTATGAAAATCTTATAATGAAATAGAGCAAATTGGATATATATAGTAAGAACAGGCTTACAAGTATGCTGGGGTATTTGGGTTATAGGAATTAAAGTCATGGTGGAGACTGATAATGGAACACAGATTAAGAAGACCTTCATTGATATTCTATTCAATCTTTGAGCTCTTGCCGCCGAAAAAATTACCATTTTTCTATTCAACTATCCCACTTACAAATTGCTTAGTCATAGTGCTAACAAGGTCATGATCCTTGTCTTTGTAATTCAACCATGGCTGCGCACAAACCACAGATTACTTGCAAAACCAAAACCAAGTTAGGCACGATAATTTGAATAAAAGTTACATTTCCATTTAAGAAAATTTTCGTTGATAATTGAAATTTGATGATGTTTACATGCAAAACACGTTTGCAGAAATACATGAAAAACCTTTTGTTCATAAAGAAAACCCTGCCACTACGATCGATGATGATGTCTTGTCTTTCACATTCTGTTCATCATCCACGAACTCAAAAGCATTGCAAACAATGGGGGGCATCAGCAATATTATAATGGCGCAATGACATGGGACATTATCTTAAAACGACATGCTCACAAGTATTAGGCGTTGGATTCTGTGTCATCTTCCATTTCGTGCACAGCTTGAAGGGGACCGCTACCAAACATGAGGGCTCTATTTGAGAGATTATTCAGAGGATCATCTCCAAATAAACACACCTGGGGTTCAATCTGATTCAAGCGCTTCCACTCATCATCTGACAGAGACCAATTAAAGATGTCGATATTTTGCTTTATCCTGTCAGGCTTTAGGCTACATGGTAGAACACTGGTTCCTCTTTGAAACCCCCACCGTAGAATTACCTATAAAGGAGCAAAGCAGACTGACATGATTTAAAACAATCAGAACTGCTAGACGAGTTTAAGGTAGCACGTTAGGACAGGATACATATCATGTTTTTTAAGGGCAATAAGTGAAGTGAACACAAAAGTCCTCGGAGGGGCCAATTCTTGTTTCAGCTAAATCCAGAATATGCTCAAAGGGTATTCACCCCATTGTTATAATAAGTGACAGTTCTGTCTTGGTTCCCCAAGGCTACAACCTACAAGTGGCAGTTTTAGTATTTATACTGATAAAAATTCCAGTTATTATCATGATTTGCTCTACCATAAAGAATTGTGATCTTAAATGCCCCCGAAAAACAACACTCCAAAAGTAACCAACAAATTTGAATTCTTGCAGTTGCAAGGTAATTGATTAAGAAAACATTGCATTGGCCAGCTAAAAGCATGCACTATCATACACAAGAAGCTCTAAATAGATAAAATATCCTAGACCTAGGGGTCTCGATCAGAAGCATTATTCAGCCATAACCATCATGTAACGATGTTGAGACGATCATTTGCAGATGAGTAGTTCACTTCCCATTTTCTATCAAGAAAACAGTTAAGATAGCCACCAAAAGTTGTAGACCTCTTTGCATCTGTGATAGCATTTATTGCAGGCCAATCATGATAATACAAATATATGCTAAAGGTGGAAGGTTATTTGTATACCAGATGAAAAAGGTGGTCCACCTAACTGGTGCAGTAGAAGCAGTTATTTATAACATGAAAAACTAGAATTTGGGTGGTCTAATAGGCTTTAGTATGTTAAGATGCTATCAATGGGTTGTCCATCTACAACCTCTCATCCCAACTCTTTTCCCCCACAGAAAGACATTTGAGGTTCATATACAGTACGTAGGATTATTTTTTTCTTACTCCTGTTGAATTTTTCATTGTTGAGTGTTTTGCGATGGGAAGAATTGCTACTCAAAATATGCTTTCTTAATGAATCATTAATACTCAGCTAATCTTAATTTCACATTAGTTGGTATCAGCTCTCTGAATCTTTTTCTCCATTCTGCTTGATCTAAGGTTATAGCATCAGAAAGATTTAAAATGGCAAACCCTTTCTTCCTACTTCAACCCATTATCTTCAGTTATTCCACCATTTTTTTCTTCTATTTGAATCACCTTACTGCTACTTGCTTGGTACTCAGTACTCACATATCTACATTACACATAATCACACCATCTAAGGTGCTACATGTTCCTCCAAGACAAAGGAATATAGTGAAAGTTCACTACATTTGCCATCTGTCTTTAGTGGGAATAAGTAATGTCTAGAAATAAGGTTTGATCTCCAGCTTACTATAGTTCAGGAGTTAGCTAGATGTAAGTTTATTATATAATCTTAGGCTGGCATTCAGCTTATTGGCCTGGTTGAAGAGCCATGCCTTATCCTGTGAATTCACTCTTCATATGGTCTTTGGAGGAAAGGGAAAAGGAAAGAGGAAGTGATTGAAAATGGGGTATATCGGGTTGGAAGTAGTTGACAAAAGGAATTTCTCTGGTATGGCTATGGCTGGAAGTTTAAACTGAAAGAGACTTGCCATAATATTAGCACTTTTCCTAGAGATATGCTTCCTGACTAGTAATGCAGGTTTGGTTACCAACAATGATATGAACTTCTGTTCAATAACAAAGATATTGCTTTTCATGGTTTTGGGTAGTAAATATGGAAGATATGCAAACTCTGCCTCTGAAGGTAATTAACTATTTGAACAATACAAGGAGCATAGACTAAGTTTGCTAGTGTAGTTTCATGTGACCGGGCCAGGTTGGTTACTTGGGAAATTATACCTTAAGTTCCCATTTCACTGAAACCAAGTATCATTAGTGTTGATTTTCACATGGATGAGATGAGAAGGTCAACATATTGTTGACGGATTCAAAGTCATTCATTACCCTACTTTAGGCCAGAAGAAAAGTAGAAAGAGATAGCTACTATGATACATAGTCAGTTAAAATAGACATGATATTGTTTTTATAAGAAATACCTGTTCAGGTGTCTTTTTGTGCCTATGTGCTATCTCTCCAACAACTGACAATTTCAGCATTGGTCCATGTACTGATCTAGACCTCCTAAATGAAATGCGAGGAGTTCCAGGTTCATCTTCCCCACCTGATCCACTATCAGACACTCCAGGGCTTGAAGCAGGTACTCCCAAAGGAGTGTGAGCAGATACATGGATACCTTTCAATTGGCAGAACTTCACCAGTTCATCTTGCCTCCAAAAGGGATGCAACTCCACCTATTAAAAAATGAAAAATTAATTCTAGACCTTGTTGATGAACTTCATACAGAGTTCAGAAACAGAAAAGCAATCAAGTTTTTGGTGAACTAATCTTGTAAATAAAAGAAAAGAAAAAGGGAATGACAACAAGAAGAATAGAGATCTATTTAGGGAAAAGGATTACAAGATAAAGTGACAAACAATATTTTGAGCATAAGACTAGAGCCTGTTATTCCAACACTCGATTTCAATAGAAGCAAAACAATTGCAAGAACGAAATTGGCGAAGATGTCTAATCATGGGCAAGGTAAAACTACAAAAAACATGAAAAGCATAATATAGAACCAATGTAGAAAAGATCTGAATTCTGATAAAAGATAAAAGAGATGTTATCTGATGCAATACATCCATTGACATTTTTGAATGGAAGGTAACATGTTTAGCAAAGATATAGCTCTTGTGGTAAGGTGCCGTGTACAAAAGACAAAGTTCCATTTAAAATGCATGCATTGAGGTAAAAGGGGATAAACAAAATGATGTGCTTTCATATGATTGTAAAACATGCAGGATATAACCTGTCAGGTTGCTTCTTCTTTCAATAACTGTGATTATCATGTAACTAGCAATCATCAAAATTCCAAACCACAGCCAACCGACTATAACATAAACAAATATGCTTGTGCATCAACTGGTAAAGTTTGCCTCAAGTTTTGCAGACCCATGTTCAAACATTGTAGAGAGTCATTTCCTTTTATCATTTTGTCATAGCAAGGCATAGGAGTTCTCTGACACTGAGCTACCAACTGGGTGAATGGATTTTGATCAAGAAGAGAACTGATGCAGAAACCACCTCTAGTTAAATGAACATGCAGGGTGCATGTAATCATAAAAGTCCATTAGACTGTATCATTGCCTGGTAATTAAAAAGAAGAAACTTGTGGCTGGCTCTCCAACTAGTTTAGAATTTAGTTCACAGTAAATTCTCAATAAATCAATGCAAAGGGCAATTCTTTCATGCAAGAATCACTGAAATTAGAAGAAATTCAAATTTAGGAAAAAAAGTGTGACATCTATGGAACCTGGTTAACTGCAGGTACGACTTTAGCAAATTTAAGCAGTTCTTTGATTTGATTAACACTGAAATTGCTGACACCAATAGCTCTAACCAAACCCAATTCGACTAGGGCTTCCATGGCCTTCCATACCTTCTTCAGCCGATTTAAAAACTGCCTATGCTCACTCCCGGACTTCAAAGGAGGATCAGTTGCATCTCCAAAAGCTGAGGTCTCAGGCCAATGCATCAAATAAAGATCCAAATAGGAGACTCCAAGATTCTTAAGAGACACCCTAACATAATTCTCAATCTTATTCAACGAATTCATAGTACAATAAAGCTTAGAAGTCAAGAAAACATCCTCTCTTTTCAAAAAACTTTTGAAGGCTTCAGCCAATGCTTCCCCAACTTCAATCTCATTGCCATAAAGATGTGCACAATCTATATGGCGGTAACCAACCGACAATGCTGTTTTCACAGCATCAACGCAGAGGTCTCCTCCACTCTGCCATGTTCCAAGCCCAATGGCAGGAATTTTAGCTCCAGTATTCAACACAAAGAAATTCCCTGGATTCCCAGCTTTTCCTTTCATTTTCCTTGATCTTCTTGACCCACCAACCAAGGATTACAAAGGGCAAGATTCAACTCCAAATTTCCAACAATCTTAACTATGTTCACTTGCGTTTGGTATTTGAATTATAAAACTCCAATGAACAAAGAATAAAATCCCAAATTCTCAGGATTGCAGTAAGATAGGCAAATTGAACCAAAAACCCACCAATGAAATCTCAAGAACAAGACAACCCAAATCAGCAAAAATGAAGCTGGTTCAGCATAAAGACCAAAGGAACATTTTTTATCGAAAAAAACCAAAACTTTACTTCAAATGAAAAAGAACCCAGCTTCTGTTTGTCTATTAACATGAAAGAAACCGACAATTGATCATTCATCAAAAGGACCACTAAACCGAACCAAACTATAAAACAAAAGCAAATGAATAAACAAACCTTAAAAATCCAGACCACATCACCAAAAAAACGACTTGTTTTTTCCACTGTGTGTATGCAAAAAAAAAAAGTAAAAATAATATTTACAGCTAAACTTCAAAAGAGAGGGCCATGGGCAACAGCGGCAACACAGGGAAGCAACATAAACGTATTAACTAAAACACCCCATCAAGAAACAAAACAGGTAGCCTGGATATTTGATACTGTATATATATATACAGTATCAAATATCAAATATCAAATTATCAATCTGTAGATCTATTTAGGAATAAAACAAAAGGCAAATGGTCAAATCAATAATAATACAGTTTATATTATTATGTTGAAATTTTGAATACTATTGTGTATGTTTATGGAATATAAAGGAAAAAAAAGGAAAAAAAAAAACAGAGGAAAAATGAAGGTTTTGTACCCAACTGGAACAAAGGAGCTGTCTAAATCCTGCTACCTACCACCTACCAAGTACCCAACTCACAACTACATTCATTGGACACTGCCCTTTAATATCTCTTTTGTTTGTGTCATTGAAATCTAACTTTTTTGAAAGATATTTTTGGTTCTGTTTAAACCAAAGCTGTAGGTTTCTTGTGCTGTGACTTGGTAAGTTGTACCATACGAGGCGACCAAGGACAGTGTAACTTAATCAAACATTGTCCATGGTACAAATGCTGCCCTCATATATCCCATTTTATTGTATTAGTTGGGTGGAAAAGTATTCTATTTAAATGTTGGTTTTGATTTGTTGAAGATAGATTTGAATCCAATTTTCAATAATATATATATATATATATTTATGTACACTTGTGATTAAGATAAATATTCAAGTGCACAAATACGTTAATTTTGATGAGCTTAGCTTCAAACTTTTTGTTAAAAGAAAGCAGTACAATTTTTAAAAGAAAAAAAAAAGAGCCTTTTCAATAATTGCTGTAATGGAAAATGGAATAAACAATTTCTTTCTTTTTCTCGTAATGCAGAACATCACTTGTAAAACAAGATCCTCTCTAAAAAAATAAAATAAAATAAAAAACTACCATTCAAAGTGACACTTGGAATGGTAGGTTTTTCTTTTATCAACAAGTCAACCTTCTGAAATATGCTTTCATATATTGTTTTGCTCTCTCACAATTGAAGCGTTATTCTCATTTGTACAAAAAAATTAATCCATCTTCCATCTCTTATTCCTACTCTTGGAGAACCCCTAATCAATTTCTCACATTTGTTAGCAGACTGAGACCAATTACGCCCCATTTGATAGCATAACGTGAAGCCAAGTCATGCCAGGTATGTCTTAGAATTCTGTATGTTTCATCTCTTCCTGAAATCTTTGTTAGAAGTTAATTCATCTATATTTAGAATTTCTCAAAAGTAACTGTTTGTGCTCCAAATGGTATCTGTTCTGGAGTTTTAACAGCTAGAATAGCATTCCATTAAATTAAAGAAAATTCAACCATCATCGTTTTTCTTTTTCGGTTTTGCTTTTACATGTATGTATGGTACCAAAATAGTCTACAATTTCTCCACAGAATCTAAAACCTCCTTACTTTGAACACATTGACAGGTTTTGAATCCATGAGATCAGCTCGTGAGTACAAACACAACAATAAGTATCACTTTTTGCCTTCTCCATTGCCTTTTTTTTTCTTTTTTCTCCTTTGTGTTACTTCCTCGAATGTTGTTCAGCGTATAGGATGATACTGGGTCATACCTCGTTTTGGTGGCAACTTCCTCAAAATGAAAAGGACCAAAGTTGAAGGTAATATCTCCACCAACTGCCCAAGAAGAGAAAAAAAAAATTAGTAAAAACATTTGAATGTTATCTTGGTAATCAACATTAACATTATGTTTAAATTGAGAGGAGAGGAAAGAAAGAAAAGTAAAATAAAAGAAAGTAAAGAAAACAAAACCACATTCCGTTGTTTGAATAAATATTTAATTTTTTTTAAAAAAAGAAAAAAGATGAAAACTAAATAACCTTTTATTTTTCATATAAACCCAATTTTTTTAATACCCCAATTTGAAATAAAAGCTAAAGAAAGGAAAGTTGAAATTTTTTTTTTTTTATAAAAAAACTATTATATTTATTTTTTTATTAATACTAAAAACTTAATCAAAAAAATCTAAACAGCTCACAATCATCCTTTAATTTTTTCAAAATCATCTTTTTTTTTAAATAAGTTTCATATATCTTTCAATATAAAATTTTTTTATAATTTTTTGGTGATTTGATTTTGATGAATGGTTGAATATAAATAGATATACTTTTTGGGTTTATGAGATGTCAGATTAATTCAAAATTCATCAATGTATATTTGTAAAACATTTTCCTGTTTCACTTGATTAAAAACCATTAATATAGCAACAATTGTGAGCCAAACAAAATAGCAACATATTATGATTCAGGAATGCTCTAAAATCACAAGTAATAAAATGTTATAATTGAAAAAAAATTATTATAATGAATCATTTCCTTTCTTTTTCACTTTTTATCCAAACAATGATTGTTAGAATTCCTTTCATTTCCTTTCCTTTATTAATTTTAATTATCCAAACAAGACTTACATATATCATTTCTTTTTCTTTAAAAAACTTTTTTTTCTTTTCTTTTCCTTTCCTTTATTAATATTTATCCAAATATAACGTAAGTACTACCATAATACTGAGCAACAAAAAAAGAACAATAAAAATGGAAAAAGATTTTTCCTAAGTGCAAGTCAAGGAGCTGTAGTCATTTATTAAAGCACATTTAAATAAAGTAAGTTTCCAATCCACACTGCACTATTGTTGAGGTATATCGTTAGTTGAGGCATAGAATTGTCAGCACCAGCGATTTTCTAAGACAAATACAGATCACAGTCTGTAAAACCTAGTCAACTGCAATGATTTCCTCCTTAAACTTTCAGTAATTCCTCTCAATTTTAACAGCAAAATAGATAAACATTAAGGCAGGACAGACTTGACTATAGTGTTGGACATGGGTACTTACCTAATAAAAATACACTCAGTTTTTCATTCAATTTACCCTTTATTTAAAGAGCCATACTTAGAATTACCCTCTAGCCAACTGACCTGAATGACTGCAATTCAGAGCAAGAGAAAAAGATGAAAAAGAATTAGGAAAACTGAAAGAAAGTGTGATATGGTAAAGAATATTCGAGAAGATACCGGAGAAAAAATGCCTTCTTGTACAACTTTAGAGGACATTGAACATTGCACCCTTACTCTAGCATATCAAATTCCCCTTTATTACCATTTTTACCATCATTCCTGTCCATATCTATGAGACCTAGCCAAGAATGATGAGTCCCACGCTTGAGAAACATAATTATAAATATATTGGGTCTTGCTGGTGTATAAAACAATGGTTAGGAGAAAACTGAGTTTGGCATCCTACTTTAATTGTTTTATTTGGTTATAAACTTGAAACTGGTCAATAGCCTGTGATTAATATCTATATTATAGTAGATAAAAAGGAATTTGACTGACATACAGTAAAGATAGAAAACAACAAATTCCACTTAAAGCCTCAACTCACACCAAATTGTAATCAGAAGTAAAAATAGTAAGATGGGTTAAGCAACCCCGCTGTATTTCAATATGAATATCTCAAGCACTAGCAAATAAGCAACATGATACAACTATTTATCAATCTTACCAGGTAATATATGAAGTTTAGAACTGGATGGTTCAAAACATCAAGGTCAGCAGCTTTGTCAAATGCATTAAAGCACACCTAGAACAAAAAATTACAATAGAGCTCAAATTAGAAAACCTTAGGACAAATAGCATCATAAATGGGCAAAGCCAAAGATCTGAAATTTCAGTAAGATAATTGATCAATTAGATCAATAATCTAAAGCAACTAGCAACTAGCAGCTAAAGGGTTCAACTAAAATACTTTCATTTTGCAACAAAAGTGCTACAAAATTATATGCATCTAAAAGCTGCACAAAAGTGCTACAACGTACATTCATTTTTGTAACAAAACATGCTTGTAAAATTGTCAACTTGAAATATATAAGGTTAGTAAAGCCAGAAAGGAAATAAGTGATCTACCATAATGCATCTGACCATGAAACATGAGAAACATATGGTTGTCACATAACCAACCTGCCCAAGCCAAAAATAAAAAAAAATAGAACTTGAAATAAAAGGCAAAAGTGTGGGACTCAACAAACCAACAACTACTTTCAAAGTAAATATGTACTTCTTGCAGCTTCTTCCGCCGCCCTTTGGACTCTACAGGGAACCGCTGCAACATTAAGAAAAGCCTGCAAGGATTGAATATATTGTTATATAGCTTCACCATGCTCGCATAAAACACAAGGTAAATATATGATATGGTCTCACTGGTCTCTTGGGAAATGAACAAGGGCAACAGTAATTAGGAGATAATACATGCAACATTGAATAATGAGAAAAGGGGTCATCATTAAATCATTTTCTCTGAAAATTGCCAAATAACCATGAATTTATTTATCAATAAACTAATAATAATGGCTCAATACACCGTTCCCCGCCAGGAAAAATGTGAAATACGTCACCTTAATTGTGAAATGATGCATACTTGTCAGTGGAGTTCAATATTTTCAATCAACTAACACAACTTACTTTGTTTTTCCTATGTAAAATAAATTCAAAACATAAAATATATATATATATATATATATATATATATATATATATAGAAATCCACATTAGAAAGTATTTCATACTCTAAGAACACAAATAAGATAATAAATGTAATAAAAGTAAAGAAGAAAATAAGGAAATTTATTTTTGTCTTCACAGGATTTCAAACCCTTTAAGCCACTTTAATATGTAGTATATATATTATTAATATCAATTCAGCTTGAGAACCAAGTAACACAAGCTGCCCTGTAATTATGCTAGATCCATAGTTGAGAAGTGAGAGAGACCTTTTAACAAAGAAGACAAAGAGTTATAAATATAAGGCACAATTCTGAATAACATAAAAAGACAATGATATATGGGTTTCAGTATGCTCCTTAACTATTAAACCAAATTATCATGCTAAGATTGCTCTCATACCATTAAAACATTTAGCAACAATACAATAAATGGCAATATAATTACCTTCCACCATATAGTAAAAACCCAAGGGCTGCAAACAATGACACACCTGCCCATATACATAAGTCAGGATCAAATAGTTTCATTCATTATAGAAACAAATTACAATTAATATCTATAAATAAAGCATAACAAAATTACCAAGTGATTATCCATAATAAATCTATAGAGAATCCAAAGTTACTCAACAGTTAACTATTATAAATCTATTAAGGATTCAACAAAAGCCTTACCTGCAAAAAACATCTTGGATAGGATGACCAAAACTGGGATATACTTCCACCATAATACCAGCCACATTGCAATCTGAAATCAGTTCCCCCCCCCCCCCCACCAACATCAAAAGAAAAGGGAACTTCATTAACACCATCAAAAAAATTTCACAAAGTATGACATAACAATAAACACCAAGAAAGTTCTGGTGGAAGACAACAGGTTTAACTCAGATGTTTATATAACATATGACTGGATAAAGGCACATATGTCTTGTTGCTAAACTGGAATGCAATTCAACTAACTGTGAAATATGATAAAAAAAGTAAAGGAGGAAAATGAGATACTTATTCTATAGCAAGCTCATAGCTTCAGTTCTAGAAATTATAGAGGACATACACTTCAAAGCAATGCTACATCAGACAAAATTTTGAGTGATCAATCCTTCATTATGTCTCAGATAATCTCTGAGCACATCTAAAATTTTGGATACATTTTTATTTTATTCTCAGCTTCAAGGAAAATGCGATTTACAAAGGTTTGATTATGCAGCAAAGTGAACTCCTGAGGCCATTTTTAAAGAAATATACAAGCCAACCACAGAGCCTTTCACGTCATTTATCCTGTGGCAAAGTACACTATCTTCAAGGTTACTTCATTGCCCAACATACTGGTGAAACCAAGAAAATTCAACGAGGATGGACAAAAACTTCTAAATTATCTTTTCTACAAGGATTATGGATGTTTATAAATTCTTTTTGTCTGTATTGTTATTGTCATAAGGCACGGAAATTTTCATCTCAGAGAGGAGTCCAGAGAGAGAAAAAAGAAATGAGAGGCAAATATGTTAATATATATTGATAAAATCCCATTTTAGGAACAAGATCCCCATTAATAAGCTTTAACTACCCTAACAGCAACAACAAATTTTGCTATATCAACAAAAAGGGAAGTCCTAGAAACATTCAAACTGAATAAATGTAAATTAACCAGAAAAAAATAATTTGGATAAACTTTGCATAGCAATGTCACCAAAAGAAAATGTATTACTTTTGATAATCTGTCCTTCGACAAAATCTAAGTTGTATGATATGCATGATGACTATGGCGCTTCTAGTTTTAAATTATAAGAAGGTGAAAATATACTTGGCAGTTGCATTGTGTAAACGAAGACAAAAGAAGACAGGGAGTGAAATTACTTAGTTTTCAATGTAGTCTTCTGTAAATTTACCTCTTTCCTTGATGTTGACATTTGTCTTTCGTCTTTAATTAATCACCCCAAAGGCCAATATTCATCCCATGAATGTGAAAAATGTTTTTGGTTTTTCAACTAATGACACTGCGAATTGGACCCTTGATTATTTCCTAACTTGATTCTCATATAATTAAAAGAATTAAAACAGAATATTAGTCTAATGTAATCTTGCTGCGTGGGGCACAATATTAGATCCTCCCTCAAAGAAGAAGGAAGACCATTTATGAAAAATAAGCTTAGTAATATTATCCCATTTACAGTATTTACAAAGTCACCAAAGGGCACCAATCCACTGTCAAAATTTGCCACCCTGCTCCCCACTAAACATTTGAAGAATTTGCAACAAATTAGACAAATAAATAATCATGCAAAACTATATAACAGTATTGTTCTTACGAAACATGACTAGCTTCCAAATGGAAAGAACCAACTCCAAATTCTCCTTTTCGAGGGCACTTATACTGAAATAATAGAACACAAATTTCACCTGAATAGAATAAACCACCGCATTAATAGTAAAGAAACTTGGCCTCAGTCCATCAGTTGATACAGCACGTGCCTGTTGGATAGGCAGAGTTATGATAAAGTTGAATATCAAAACACAAAATAAGAAAGACCAGGGTGGGGAGGCAAACTGGCAAAGTTCAAATAACCTAACCTGGTAGTAGATCTCAGCCCAAAACAAAACCAAAAGCGCATATGTCGTGAAGAAAGCTAGGCTTGGCATGTCAAGCAAGATATGTTGAACAATCTAACAAAAATGCAACATGGAGCAACGAAATTATGAATAATTCAAGTCCGGGTATAAATTTAAAAAGAAAACACACAATGGTTTATCCCAAACCTCTGGATGTAACTTCTGCACATTCCTACGAAAAACAAACACTACCACGCGAACTGTCATATAAATGAAAGCACAGTAAATACAGAAACGAAAATAAAAATTCACAACAAAGAAAGTGTTGAATAAATTTTTAGATACAAACCCCCATTAACCAGAAAGTTTAGAAAATGGAAGACCTTCTGTGTGGTCCAACCATACTCGGGAACTCTCAATTGTATCCTAATCAATTGAACCTAAAAATATCAATAAATAAATGAGTTCATGAACAAAGTTGGTAAGTAATAAGCGCTATTCATGACATCAACATCAAGAGAATCTTCATATCAGGTAAAATTACTAAAACAATCTTAATTGCACTTACATCTTAATTTTTTTCTTTGATTGCAACTTGTTTTTCACATTAACAAAAAGGGGGACAAAGCAAATAAGGAAAGCTAATCAAACGGTGCTAAACCCTAATTAGTTACAAATAAATAAATAGAGTAATAATGAAAAGGGAGAAGAGGCAGACGAGAGCTACGGCGGCGACGAGACCGTAAAGCCCGGCGAGAATGTGAAAAATGCGATCTTGCCACAGCGGAGAATCGTTAATGTCTCGCCACCAATTGGATGTGTTGTACGCTATCACCGCCTCATCCGCGCCGTAACGCCCCATCTCTCTCTCTCTCTCTCTCTGCTTTTTTTTCTAATTATTATTAATATTAAAAACCCGAACCCGAATTTGTTTTGATTGGTTTCTTTATATATAGATATGAAGAGGATTGAGGAATCAAAATCGGAATCCTAATATGGTTGTGGGTTTTTTTTGTCTTTCTAATTTTTATTTATTTGAAAATTAATTATTAGGAAGAGATAAGCGAACACGGCGGGCGAAAAGGAGAGGCGTGTCGTCGAAGATGAGAGAATAGGGCGATTTTTTTTTTTTTCATTTTATGTGGAAGCCACCGGAAGTAGCCGGTAATCTGTTCGGAAACGAGCAGGAAGAATACGAATGACTGTATGATCTTACTTACGTGTCCTTCAGTTGACCGCAACTTCACGCGCTATTGACATGTGATATGTATCTATCGATCTAGAGGTGGCAATGGAGGTTCAAGGGATATAGTTTTTTTTTTTTTTTTTAATAAACAAATAATAAAACATATTAAAATAATTTCTTTTAGCAAGCAGGAGAGTTCCAATTAACCAATATATATTTAATTTAATTGGCGAAAAAATAAATACTTAATTTCAATTTCTTTGACCTGTTTTTTGCTTTTATTGTTAAATATTTAATTTAAAATTTAACTTTAAATTTTTAATTACAAATTAAATATTTCCAAATTGACTCAAATAAAAAAAAAAAATAAGAGCAAGTTGCATGCGTTTTTATACAAAATAGAGCATATCAAAGACGGGTCAAATCATATTTTTGTGCAATAAAATTAAAATAAAAAAATATTAAATTAAATTAATTTAAAAAGTTAAAATATGTCATATATTTCTATATTTACGTCTTTCTAATTTTTAAAAAATTAATCTTTATAATATTATTTTTAAAAATTTTAATCCTTATCATATTATTCTTTAAAAAATTTAATCTCTGTACATAGTTAATAATTAAACCAAAATCTTTAAAAAAACAATACTACAATGAATAATTTTTTTAAAATAATATTAAAAAAATTAAATTCTTAAAAATAAAAAATATAGAGATTTAGTGCACATTTTGACCAAAGAAAAGGGATTTTAGGGTTTTTTACCCAAAACATTTTTAAAGAATCATTTATTAGAAGAAAATTGTTGAGAAACAAAATTGAGAAAAAAATGGTGCTTTGAGCATACCCATTGGTGAAGCTCAACACCAAATTCACAAGCTACAGCAACAGCCAACAAGGAAAGAAAAGCTTTAAAATCCATTAGACCAGCTTGTTTGTTCACTGAAGTGGCTTTTTACAGTTTTGGTATGTCCCCTGTATCAAACCCAGCCAAACTACCCTTTCTTATCGCGTTAGGCCGAACCCTTTGTTTTCTTTGAAACCCAACATTTCCTTTCTCTTCATTCTCCAAGCCCAGAGCCGAAGCAATTGGTTAGTCTCACGTTTCTCCATTTCTTTTCTTCTATTCTTCAGCTCGGATTTTTATGGTCTGTCAATTCTGATTAAGGGTACTTTTTATTTTTCTTCGATCTGCATATGATATTGTTTTTCTCATCTTCTTGTTTGAAGCAATTCAATTTATTTCATTTGAAATACGAAACCTACTAATTTTATAAAATCACTTGCTGAAATTTTCATTATCAACAAAACCCTTATTTTAAATATCAACAATTAGATCCGTGTCTTTTTGTGTGAATTCCGATGAGTAATTTGGTTCTAAATTTTGCGATCTCAGCAAAGCCGATATTTTTGTAAGTGTTAATTCATGGATACGATTAATTTTGAATCAAATTATTTTAATTAAATTAAATTATTTTTATTAATTAAATCAAATTATTAATTTTAAAAATTAATCGATCAAATTTAATTTAATTTTATTAATTTTTTATTAATTAAATAATAAATATTTAAATTAAATTTTATTTTAAATTTTTATATTTTAAATAAATTAAAAAAATTATTCAACAAAATTTTTAAATATTAAAATATTATATTAAAAATTTTAATAATTTATAAAATAAAATAATTAATTTTATATTTAAATTTTATTATATTTTAATTAAAATTTTAATTAATTTAATTTTTAAATAAAATTAATTTAAAATAAATTTTTTTTAAATTTAATCTAAATTAATTTGATAATTAATCAAATTAAATCGATTTGATAAATTAATTAAATTAAAATTGAATTATAAATATCTCTACTCATTTTCATGGATCTACCTTGCTACTTCTACATGTTATTGCAAGATTAAATTAAAGAACTTTCTTAACTTTGTGGGTAAAATTCCTTTTTATTCAATCACAATAACACAAATGGTCAAAAATAATCACAAAAAAAAAAAAAACTCAAAAAAACCCCCAAAAGCAACAACTTTTTACGATTTGTTCGCTGCATGTTTCAATCCAAGCAAGTCCCAGAATCATCTCACGAGGGGTTCATCTTACAAACTATCTATCGAGGTTTGCGCTGATCTTGAAGGCAAAACTTGTGCATTGGCATCTGGGTCGAAGTTGTTGGAGAGAGTTTCAGTGCCTTTAAATTGATTTAACCGATTAAAAAAAATTAAATTAAATAAATTGATTTAAATTGATTTAACCGATTAAATTAAATTAAATTAAAATAAATTAATATAATTAATTAATTTGATGGGATTAAATAAAATGATTTAATTTTTTAATTCCATTTTTTAAATTAATAGAATTAACTAACTTTTTAAATATATTATATATAAATATATAAAATTTTTATTTATATTTTTTAAAATGATAAATATAATATTGGTGATAAAATTATAAAGTGAATTTTATTGGATGAAAATTGTTGTAAAATTTACAAATTTATTAATCAAAATTGGTGGTAAGGGGCTGATGTAAAATTTTTTAATAGTTACCATTTTAATATTTCTAAATTCTGTGCTGCTTTGTGAGAAAAAAATAAAAAAAAAAAGGAAAAAAAAAGGTCAAACGGTCAAGTGCTGCTCTCCGACCTCGCTCAGCCGACCTTTTTTAGAAAATCAAAACCCACGCATAAAACGTGACCGCTTGCCACGACCCAAATTTCCCACCTTTTTCTCTCGCTGTCCAGCACAGCTTCACAATACCAACCATTCCCTTTCTCAAACAGTTGAAGCAAGAAGTGGTAAACGAAACACCAAACCAAGCCATCATCTTGATTTTGTTGTCCTACCATTTATTTTAATTCTCCAGTTTATTCATGTTTATCATCATCAATAACAGCTATGTTTTCTATCATCCCCACTTTGCATCTGGGGCACTGAAAAGCTTCCTCCCATTACCTGTAATAAATGATCTTTTTACAATCTTGTCCTACCAGTTTCAGCTTCCCTCTTCTTCCTCCACTCTGCCCTTGTAAAACCCACCTCTGCTTGCCACTCAGGAACAAGACACCACCGCCCAAAACTCCAAATTCCAACAGGGTTAATGTAAAGGTGGCTAGGAACCTTGTGGCAAAACGGTTTTCAAGTGAGTTTGTGGATGAGGAAAGTCAAGAATCTTCAATCCAAATGGGCTCAAATTTCACTAGTTTCCAACAAGACCCCATTGTTTACAAGTTAAGGACCCAGCTAGGAGTCATCCACCCGATCCCTTCCCCTCCAATGAACCGTAACGTTGTCGGGTTGTTTGTTTTTTTCTTTTTTGTTGGGGTGGCTTTTGATAAAATCTGGACTTCAAGGAAAAGGAGGGGCAAATTGGCAAGTCTAGATGGGGACGCAGTTGGAGTGGGAGGATGTGTTTGGCCACAAGTCCCAACCAGTTTTTCTTTGTTCTTGGAAAAGGATTTGCAAAGGAAAGAATCAGTTGAGTGGGTTAATATGGTGTTGGGGAAGTTGTGGAAAGTTTATAGAGGTGGGATTGAGAATTGGATCATTGGGTTGTTACAGCCTGTTATTGATAATGTTAAGAAGCCTGATTTTGTTGAGAGAGTGGAAATTAAGCAGTTTTCTTTAGGGGATGAGCCTTTGTCCGTTAGGAATGTTGAGCGTAGGACTTCGCGGCAAGACAATGATTTGCAGTGAGTTGTTTGCCACTTAAAAACTATCAAAATTTTTGTTGTTGTTTTCATATTATGGTTTTTTTTTTTATAATTTTTTTATTGCAATTGAACTGTCTATGATTGCTTGATTCCCATGTTTATTTATATATGAAGATTCTAATTATCAAGTTTAAAGTGTTCTTGATATATATAATAGTTTTTCTATTGCATGGAGGTCCAATGAAAGTGATGCTCAATTTAATGCTTAATGTTCTATGATTTGAGTATATTTTTGGAGTTTCAGTCTACAAATTTGAGAGTGCATTTAACTAACTTCCATTTACTTTGATGTAGGTATCAAATAGGACTTCGTTATACTGGTGGTGCTCGCGTGTTGTTGATGTTGTCATTAAAATTTGGCATTATCCCAATTGTTGTGCCAGTTGGTGTTCGGGATTTTGATATTGATGGAGAACTTTGGGTTAAATTGCGATTGATACCGACAGAACCTTTCGTTGGAGCTGTTTCATGGGCTTTCGTTTCACTTCCAAAGATCAAGTTTGTGTTATCACCATTTCTCTTGTTTAACTTAATGGGTATGTAACTGTGATGGCCCTCTTTACAACTTTTTCATACATATTTCTATCTTCAACTTCAAGTGTACAGATTAAGGAAAAAGTTAATTATGAAGTTTATGTCAACAAATCGAGGAAAACTATGTCGAATTTAAAATTTGTGTATTATTAGGTGGTACTTGTTGCTCTTAAGTGGTATTCATTTGTGGCCTGTGCCTTTTGCCAAATAAGCTAAGCAGGAGCTGGCTCCTTTTCTAGTCGTAATTCCTTTATACAAAACTATGTTGAGTAGATAGATTCACTGGCATTTAGGTTCCAGTTGTTTAAATTACAACTTTCATTGTAGAAAAAAATACTATTATTTATACTTCTTTTGCCCTTTCAATCAGTTTGTTTCCCTTTGGAAAGGAATAGGACATAGAATTCCATGCTATTTGAAGCTCGAAATTTAGACCTGAAAAAAAGGATTGTTAAAAAGCTTGAAATATACTACCAAGTTAAAAGGTGTTAGTCATAGTTCATGTCATAAGGAATCTGAAGAAATGAACTATAAAACGACTTTAACTTTTCCTTGTGTAATTGGTCAACTTTAACATTTTCCCTTGGAGTTTAATGTAAATTCTCTCACTTCATCAAAGTTCATCCATCTTTTATTGGTGACATTAAAGTCATCTTTTATTTTCTTTGGAGATTACTCTCAATTCCCTTGTCTTGAAAGTTTTAAATTAAAAATGGTTAGGGATTGTCCTTTTATGTGCTAACTGCCATGGAAGATGCTGATACATGTTTCTTTTTCTGTTCTTTTGTGCATGCACTGGGCAATACCAGCAATTCCTGTCCTTTCAAAGTAAGTGCAATTTTTTCACAGCTTCTGTTATTTATGCAAGCTTACTGATTTTGCTTCTTCTTTCTTCCTTTTTTCTATGCATAGGTTTAGTGTGGCTTCCTAAATTTAAATATGGGTACTGAATTTGGCAATAGTAACTGGTACTTCTTATTGTTGTTGTTGCTGCTGCTGCCATTACCATCATTTTTTTTCATGCATCAGTCAGCTTATGTAAAGGTTTTGCCAGTGATGGAACACAGCAGTTTCATTGGCTTGCTATTAAATATTTCCATTTTATTTTGAGGTGTTGTTTGTTGGCTTTGACTGCTTTCTGCCTGTCACTTTTTTCTGCTATTTTATTCATAACAAACTACAATTATTTTCAGGTTTTTGACAAAACTTCTCACTGTTGACTTGCCTCGACTATTTGTACGCCCCAAGAAAATTGTTCTGGATTTCGAGAAAGGGAAAGCAGTTGGCCCTATTGCAAATGATTTGAAATCAGGAGAAATTCAAGAAGAAAGAAATGAGGATTTTGTTGGTGAACTATCCGTGACTCTTGTAGATGCCAGAAAACTGTCTTATGGTTTTTATGGTAATAGTCATTTTTCATTTGAGCTCTGAGAAAATATATTTTTCATTTAAAAATGAAATGCTTACTTTCTATGTATAATTTTTTGTACCTTTTTTGATGCATCGTCAATGTTTTTTTCTCTTGCTTAGTAGGGTCTGTATCAAAATTTGGTTTAAATTGCTGCAAGCTATGGAAAAAATGTTTGCATGTCACTGACTGATTATTATGTGTTGAGCACTCTTCTTTAATTGCCGAATCAGACACTTCTTTAAAGGCTGTTAGTGTGTCCCATCGATATCTTTGGACCTTCGTTTATTTATCTCCTATCTCTTCTATTGTTCTGTGTCTATTTTCTCTGTTTTTCTCTTTCCCTATATTCAGAACGCAACAAGAACAATGTCCAAAACTTGTGTTGTTACTCTAGTGACATGAGTATGGCAGAGTAAAGAGATAAGTCTGAGCAAAATAGATGTAAAATTACTTATCAATGTTGCCTAATGTTTACACTTGGGGAACTTGCAATGTGAGATATGGAATGAGGATGAAATACATAGGTTTTCTGATGGTTATATGAATAGAATTCTTCATATGCATGTATATCTTCACTTCCATTCACCATATTCAGTAGTGCTCTTTTTTTGTCAGGCAAAACTAATCCATATGTTGTTCTAATCCTGGGGGATCAGGATATATGCAGTAAAATGAATAGTCAAACTACTGTTATTGGGCTATCTTAGAATCCTTCATATGCATGCATATCTTCACTTCCATTTACCGTATTCATTACTGCTCTTTTTTTGTCAGGCAAAGCTGATCCATATGTTGTTCTTAGCCTGGGAGATCAAGTTATAAGCAGTAAAAAGAATAGTCAAACTACTATTATTGGGCCTCCTGGCGAGCCAATTTGGAATCAGGTACATCTTCTTAGAAATTTTTTCTTGCGTGTAAAATTCTATTATCTCCAATGAAACTTTCCAAACTGGACGAACTTCTATATTTGAAGCTGTAAAATTTCTTTAATTGATTTTTTTTCTGGCATTTTGGCAGGATTTTCATTTATTTGTGGAAAACCCTAGAAAAGAAAAACTATGCATCCAAGTGAAAGACTCCCTTGGGTTCACAGATTTGACAATTGGTACAGGAGAGGTAAACTTTTGTATTTTTAAAAACAATGTATATCAATGTGGAATATTCCTATATATGCTGAAATCATTCTTTGGGCGTCAGCATAGTTATGTAAAGTTGGGATTTGAAGCTGACAATAGTTGGCATTCTAATTTTTAAGAATTAGAAAGTATACACGTGTGAACACACACACACACACACACATATATATATTCACTTGGAAAAGGTCAAGGATTGATTGAGAGAAGAGAGTTGAGAGCAGTTATGTGTGGAAGGCAAAGCTAGCAAGTTGTTCAAGGTACTTATTGACCCATAGGCATGATGGTCCATCTTTTACGTAGCAGTTGACACCTATTTGCTATGGTGAGAAGCAAGGCCTCCCAATTTGAGACTGCTATATTGCGTGATATGCTGACCATTCTAGATCGGGCTTAAGATTTTAAGAGCATGGCAATGAAGACTTGGTCCCTTCCTAAGAAAAGGGTGGATGGTCTACGGAGTAGATGTCCATATTGTGATGATGTTGCTGCTTATTTGATTGAGATTGCATGTAATTAACAGCTAAATATGGATTCATGAGAAAGTTTCAGTGTGTTCAAAGGCTACTTGATGATAGATTGCAAGGTTTTTGCAGTCAATTTTTTCCCTTTCCTATGAATGTCGTTATCTGATGCATCCAAACTTTCAGGTTGATTTGGTGACTCTCCAGGACACTGTTCCAACAGATGAGGTTGTGGTCTTGGAAGGAGGTTGGGGAGTGTTCGGAAAGAGATCTTCTGGAGAAATACTACTTCGATTGACATATAAAGCTTATGTTGAGGATGAAGAAGATGACACAACTGTGGCAGGATCTGTTGATACTGATGCTTCAGATGATGAATTGTCTGACTCTGATGAATCAAATGTGATATATGAGCAGGGTGTAAAGCAATATACAGAAGAAACAGACAAGGAGTCATTTATGGATGTTCTAGCAGCTTTGATTGTAAGTGAGGAATTTCAAGGCATTGTGTCATCTGAACCAGGGAGCAAATTTTTTTATGACATCTCAAGAACAGGGCCTTTGAAAACAAGATTAAGTGGTTTTAATGCAGAATCTGCACCATCAGATTCTGATAAAGGATCTGAAGCGTCTGAAGGTGTGACATTTAATTATCTATATCTAAGAGTTTGTTTCAATTGGGTATACGTGTTGTCTTGATTGCATTCAATATTGTCTTCTGCAGGATCAACCTTATTGTGGTTTGCTGTGATCACAAGTATATCGGTGCTAAGTGCAATCAATATTTTTGGTTCAAGTTTCTTCAACCCTTGATGTCACATGATGTGCTAGCTAAGTGTTAGTGCTTCTGCTTGATCAAGTAATTCTCTATTAGCCTCTTTGGTTCTTTATCTTGAACATGATTATACTTGCTGCAGTTATCTTTTTAACATTTCCGTAACAGGATTTGGTGGTTTATTTATTTTTATCTCATCCTTAAATCTCATTTCGGTTAGTACCGGCTGCTAAGTCATTATGTTTTCTATGGTTTTAGGCCATCGGTTTGCAAATCTAGTATTATATTGGCTTCCGAAGGAGATTCACATTTTCCATTCCCGCACTACACCCATACCATTATGTATATTCATGTTGTTAGCAGAGGAGCGTTCCGCGGCAGAAAAAAATTTTGGCTTTTATTTTATCCAAGCCATAATAGATGTTATTCACCCTATATATCTGTTAGTTGTTCATATACCACCATAATATATATATATATATATATATGTATGTATCTATTTTGGTCAATTGAAGCTTATCGAAATGTAGGCTTTGGTAACCCTATTATGAACATTAGACTAAGACAGGGCAACACCCTGATTGGCTTTTATTATCCTTATATTTTACAATGTATATAAGTTATTATCCTCGAATGCTATATGTGTTTGTCATGTTTTTGGTTAAGTTGAGAAGAGGGTGAAAGATTGCTATTCCTCATTATATTCAAAGTGAAGACCAACTTATTGGTATTTTCATGAAACCTATGGCCCTAACATTTCTGCCAGCAATTAGAAGCATAGATCGGAGATTTTTTATTTTCTTTCTTTTCTACATTATCTTTCTAGCCAACCATTGTTTGGTTTGAACGTGAAGATGTGCAATTCAAGCCCCACAATCAAATCGGTAACCATTGCTTCGAATATTTCATGATCAATATGGGGATTTAGCATTTGTTTTTCTTTCTTATGGCTCATATAGACAAAGTTTCAGTTAATCATTCTATAAATAATCTAAGACTTTGCATCGTATAGATTTGCGTTCCTTAGTTCCAACAATCTAGACCATCTCTTGTCGATAGAAGCTGCATTTATTTTACCAATATCTGCACCCAACGATATTTCTTCAGGGAGTTATTGGAATTTCGAAGCTTTATAGCACAGTAAAAGTTAGTTGAAAAAAGCACTTACAACTCAGGGTGGGTTCAGATTTCTGGCATGACTCCGAGCAAGTGTCCTGCCATATGAAATTTGGAGTACCAACCATCAGAAAAGATGCATATTTGCTCAAATGCTTACTCACTTTGACTCCAACTTCCACAGCAGTAATTCTTCTTAATGTACCTTACCTTGCTGGAGGTTGTTAGCCGGATTGTGTCATGTATCAGAGAATCCAAGTTGGCTTCATATCCTGGTTTCACGTAGATAACCTGCACAATCACATATATGATTGATGATGAAAAATGTACTTAAATTTGTGATTTTCTCGTCGTGCAGTGCACATGAAAGATAGAGGTCAGAGAGGGAAAATGAGAGTCGAGTTTAGAGACTTAATGATGGATCATCTCCACCAATTTCAGGCAATTGATGAGTTGCACCATGATCTTTGTTCGAGGCTAGAACCCAAACGTTGAAGTTGGTATCAATCTGATGAGGATTCCAAGTTAGAAACTTGAAGGATGGCTTGCCAAAGGAACAAATATACTACAAGTTCCAGGAGAAATACCTCTCTGCAGTATGGGGAAGAACAAATGCTACATTTTGTAGTAAAAGAAGTTAAAATCCTTCCATCCACTGAAAGACCAAAGCTGGCATGCTGCAATCGAACCAATTTCAGGCACTTGATCAAAAAACAAAATATGATTTATGATTGGCAACTATAGTTACGGCTTGAAATAAAAGAGATTAGTAGGTGGGCTGTTGACCTTGTGGATGCAAAGATTGATAGAAACCTGAGCATCCTTCTGTTCATCATCCTCAACCAAGTCATCCAAGTTCAGTTCCTTGAGAGACACAAGGTAGTCACAGTTCCATGTTCCATGCCATCTTCCATCTGCGGTTGAAATTGTGATCAGACGGCTTGGACTACTCCGGCAATCTTTCTTGTTAATCTGCAGCCATTAAAGGGTACCATGGAAAAACATTTGAATCTAAAAATCTGCATGTGTTACTCTGAAATGAAGTGGAAATGAATAGAAGAGAAAGGGTTGAAGGGTGTACCATTGATGAGTAGTCATGCCTCCTTGAAGCAGCTTTGAATCTAACATTAACGTTATGGGATTGCAGCTTATGGGGATTAAGCTTTGATTGAAATGAGCTTGGAATTTGGTTGATTTTTCCTGCTGATGATGATACTAAACGGCTGGCTTCTGCCATTTTTCTCTCTGCAATTGTAATGCCGACAAGTTTTGGCGGATACATGTCACCATACCAGAGCCCTTATCTATTGTTACTCGGACAAAGAGATAAGGATTTTCTGGATATACTGTCCCTACATATATAGATATTTTCTTATACCATTTTTCTTCTTTAAATTAGTCTTTTGTGTTGATAATAATAATTCATTAATTACTAACAAAATATATATTCTTTAAATTCGTTTTTGATACATTATAAATGTAATTCGAATATTGTAAATCACAATATTAATCAATTATTACATGACAAAAAAAATCAAACGCCGTACAGAATCTGATGTGTGTACCACCGTACAGAATCTGATGTCCTGTCTATGATGTTCATTAACTTCTGTTTCTTAATCAACTTCAATTTTGACCCAACATCCCAATTCCCAAGCTGTGTTTGATCTGAGCTTGTTCAAATACTAAGATTCTTGGTACTTCTAATTTCCAGTCAAGATTACAGAAAATTAAGAAGTAAAAAACACAAATGTTTGTGGCGTTTACAGGATGAAATGACATAAAAGAGCCAACAATGAGGATAACCCAAAACTTAAGAAACTAAGACAAAAATAAAAGGATTTAGAGCTCAGTGGAAGGAGAAGTCGTTGAAAAAAGAGGGCTCACGGCAGAACTTTCAAAAGAAAGATCCAATCCCACTGCCCATCAACACTCTTCGTGTTTTCATCTCATCATAGCATAAAATTAAACCCCTTTTTTCATTTAAAAAAATAAATTAAAAGAACAAATTTTCCAAAAGAAACAAACAGTTCATTCTACTATACATGGTAAGGCCTCAGTGTGTGTAACAATCAGATCACTGACAACAAAATCTCATTGAAATCCCTTAACATAATTTTTATTAGCATCATCAGCCTTATCATTCAACCAATCCCCCTCACCGCAAAGAAAATTAAAAAAAAAAAAGACAGAAGGGTACTCAGACAGCCAAGGGTTAGTCTTCTACTTCAGTGAGTGAAACCCAGATCAGAAACTCTAGTCCACAAAAAAAAGTGCTACATCACAGCACTCTTCTTTCTCCTTTTCTTTGTTTTCAGAAAAAATTAACCATAAAAAGGAAAAAGATTAAAAAAATAAAGAAGAAAACCACAACAAATCTTATTGAACGCTTTGGAGGTTCAAACGTAAATGCACAGTGTATCTGATGAAATCAGGGTTTTTCAGAGATTTTATATTGAGGCTGAAAGTGAAACCTGGAACTCGACCTTAACCCTGTTTATAGTTTTTGGATCATTACCATTATGGCTCAATTGGGCTGGTTTGAAGGTGCTGGACAACCTTTTGAAATCCAATTTTAAACTTGTAGTTGTTTTGATGGGTTTATGTGAATAGTGATTTATTAGTTAGCAATTTGGCGGCCCGGTTGTTGGCTTAAATTATTTTAATTCGGATGATTTAAAGATTTGGATTCATTTCATATTCGAGTTGAATGAATTTGAATCATTGAATTTTTTTTTTTGGATCAAATTGAATGGGATTAGATTTTGGTTGATAGGACAGAGTGATATTGATTGGAAACAGAATCAATTTCAATTTTTAGATAATATATAAAATTTTAAAATTTAATTATTAAATTTTTATATGATTCGATTCAAATTAAATTTTACAAGTTTGATATGGTTTATTAATTTTTAAATTTTAAATTTTAATTTTTTATATATTATTTTAATATATTTAAACAAATTTTAAGTATAAAATATTTATTTTTATTTTATAAAAATTTAAAATATATAAAAGTTAATAAAAAAATATAATTTAGTTTGATTTTTTTTATTCTTTCACTTATAGATTTGAAATTTGATCTAAATTTATTATATACATTTAATATTTAAATTTAACTCAAACTAAATAATAAAAATCAATTTAAATTGGACTGAATATTATAACTTTAATTCGATCTTTGATTTTCTCGATCTTTTCTTTACCCCTATTATTTGAGTTATAGCATAAGCAATCTTGGGTGCTTTAAGGCAAGTTACGCAACCAATAAGGGCCATTAGGCAAAGGGGGCCAAGCAATTATTGCATATTGAAACCATACTCTTGACTCTTGGACGATGATTAACTATTGCTGGTGTTCTTCAAAGTTCAAACTTAGAAGCCAACAACGTTTGCCATGAAGAAAGACCATGCACGTAACCTTTAAAAACACCCCACTTTTTCTTGGTTTTCCTTTTAGTCCAGCATGCATGCATGCATGCAAAGCAAAACAAGATGGCCTTTTGGTCAATCGATATTTTTGATATACGAAGTTGTCAAGAAGCATGAAATTACACACATTATATGGACATAGGAAAGATTTACATAAAGTTTTATAAGTGAAATTCATAAAATTTTTTATTAAAAATGAATAAAAAAAATTAAAATCGAAAATCAAAATCGATAAATTAAAAATTTTTATCACATAGATAAATATGCAAAATTCAAAAAAATTTAAAAAAATTTTCATATATATTTATTGAATAAATATTTTTAGTAAAAATATTAACAAAAATTTTCTCGTTAAATAAGTATCGATCAAATTTAAATTATAAATAATATTTTAAATAATTTTTATATTAAACTTTATCAATTTATCAATTCAAATTTTTTATTAAAATTTTATTTACTCATTTATAATAAAAATTTTCACAAATTTTATTTATTAAATTTTATATCAATTTTGTCCATATAAACTTAATTATATATATTCATGTACCAGCCTAATTATTGATCTGCCATGTGAGAAGACAGGAGCTCCCGGTAAAGGACAACAAAAAGAAAACGACAAACAGTGGGCTTAATTATGGGAAATTATCCTTTGAGTGAAAGTAATGGGAGAAGAAAATTAAGTGACATATATAAGTGTAACAAATATAGGTGATGAAACTAAAGTTGTCTCCAGCTACTTTTTTTTCCTTAACCCAGACCAAATTTAGGAATCAGTACCCTTTCTATTACGAGTTTTTCTTTTTCTTTTTTTTTTTTTCATAGTTTATCAGGTTTTTAATGCTTTAATTAAACAAAAAAAATATATAGAAAGGATCGATACACAAAATTTCTCGCTTTGCGAAGGTTGAGATAAGAATTCATGATAGCAGTTTTTTTTCTACATTGTTTTTGCATAAAAACTGTTTTTAAAGTTCGAATCCGTGATTTTAAAGTCACAAAGGAGCAACCTTATCATTATTCCAAGGCTCGCCCTTGTATACATGCTACATTAATCTTCCAAATTCCTTTCTTCATTATGTACTTCAAAGATCCATCGCATAATAAGGTTGCAAATGAAGCAAAGGATTTGGCTCGCCCTTGTATACATGCTACATTAATCTTCCATATTCCTTTCTCCATTATGCACTTCAAAGATCCATCGCATAGTAAGGTTGCAAACGAAGCAAAGGATTTTTTGTGGCCTATAATAATTTGTCTATTGATAAAGTCTTGGATTTTTAATTTTATTGATTAAAATTAAAATGTTAATAGTCTCAAATAAAAATTTTTTTGCAAATAATGTTTCCAGTTGTTTGACTTAATGACCAAATAAGCCTTAAAGAAGATATAAGGCTGGAGTCGAACTCCAGCCTCTCCCCCTCCCTTATTAATATAAGGCTCTGCCCCATTGAAACAAAAAAAAAAAAAAATTTGTGAATAATAACTAATCATTAGACAATCCAGCCTAATACATTAAGATATGAATGTATTGAGCTCAATGACCAAAAAGAACGAGAAAAAAAACAAGCTTAATTATTCTCAACATGACACTGACTGCATACACAACAAAAGAGTCCCACACCATGAAATTCCTGAACAGTTTGAAAGAACAAAAAAAGTTCTCTTCAGCTGCTTTATTCCCATAACCCAGACCTATGAATAAATAAAATGTTAAAAAAGAAAAAAGAGCAAAACTCCTTTTAACTGTTGACAAATGCACATTGCTTCCTAATCTCACCTTCTGATCCTGTCTTGACATTAATCCGACCCATTTTCTCCATAGATTTGGCAAATTCAGCATAGAAAAATTTGAGAGGATTAGAAAGGAGTTGGTTGATGAGAGCCAAGCTAGTTGAGTTTCTAGTCAAGGCAGCATCGGATTGGAAAAGACCCCTTCTTTTGGTTAGGAGAGTGTAGTAGCTAAGATCAAAGGTGTTACGACTTCCAGGGTCCATCTCAACCTTTGTGGTGTTGTCATTTGGGGTTTTACACTTGTTTGCCTTGAGATTAGCAGCGTATTCACTGTCAAGCGTTGGGTCGACGCCACCAGGGGCGGTGGAATTGTACAATCGACGTGAAAACGCTGGGCAATGAGCCAAGCCGATGGTGTGAGCACCTGAAACAATTAACCCAAAGCTGATGAGATTGATTAATGTTGAATATTGTGGCATCAGAGATATAAATAGAAAATGAATATATAATACCAGATAAGAGAACCAAGTCTTTTGTATCGAGTCCTTGGTTACTGAAAAGTCTATGGAGAGTAGTGAAGTTGTCGAATGGTCCTGGAATGCGGGTATTTGCCTCGGTGACATTTGAGATCACCCCATCTCTTCGTCCTGTTGGGACTTTCCAAAATGGACCTCCCTGTTAGAAACAGCGACTCTTTTTCAGTACTTCTCTAACGGTAAAAATGAAATCCAGGGTAATTATTAACTTCCGGAAGAGATTTACTTACTATGGTTACGACTGAGTCCCTTGTAATCAAAGTAAGGATATCAGCACAGGAGACAACGCCAGGGCATTCAGCTTCAACGAGGCTCTTCACTCTATCAATGAAATCGAAGCCCCTGAGTGTTTGATTTGGAACAGCATTCTTTTCACCAGAGGAGACATTTAGAAGCACAGATGCATCGCATCCCTGAAAGGAAAATTTTCATTCTCAGTCCCTGGATTCTACTTGACATTCTACGGTAGCTAATAACAGAAGAAAACCAGAGAAAATAGCTGAAGTTTGATGAGATGAGATACATACCCTGACAAAGCAATCATGGAAGTGCATTCTAATGAAGGAGGCGGCCAGTGATGGGGCATTAGGGATGTGATCTTTAACATAGTCTCGCACAATCTTCTCAGCTTTAGGACAGCTCTTAGCATAAAAATTCATCTGCAACTGAGGATGAGTTGAGCCTATAAATGCTAAAAGACAAAGGACAATAATCCCCAGAAGGCCTGTTCCTGCCATCTTTCACAGAATTTGAAAAATGTTGTCTCACTTCCTCTTCAGGTTCTATGGGAAAAACCTCTTTGAAAGAAAGCAAAGTTTGATGTTGTCAATATTTGGAAAACAGGGGACGTTTTATAGACGTGATCTGTTGGTAACATGTTGAATTTTTAATTTCAACAATCAAATTCAAATCCTAATAACTTTTATTAAAAAAATAATAAAGACGATTATCCAACTTACCTATCTTATGATATACTAAAACATATTGTAATCAGAAGCATGAAATAAAAAATACGATTAGTTATGCCTGTCTCTTACCAATAAAAAAACAATGACATAAGGTTCATATAGTGTAACATCATAGGTGGGCACATTTTATCCTATTAAGCAAATTGTGGCGTGGAGATTAAGCTTATGCTTGTCCATATGAATCAAACTCTTTAATTGATTTAAGTTGATTAATCAAAATTAAGCTTAATTACCATTGTAATTAGCATACGCGGCTGCTAAGCATGTATTATGATATTGATCATGGTACACTAAAAATCATGTGAGATAAGAATAAGATCAATTGGTTCACCAGCTTGACCGATGAATATTATATCATACATTTAGCAATTTGAGCTGTCTGTCTACATTTTCTATTCAATAATTTAGTACCTGCTTCACTCTTTATGGCCGACAATAACTTGGGGATTCATCAAGAATAAAGTTTGTCAAAATGTTTGAAACGTATACCTAGATGATGAAAAGAAACAAAAAGAAAAGAAAATACAGTGTAACAAACAAGCTGTCAAATAGAAAAAGGACATAAAATTATGATCTCATTAGATCTCAGTGGATTTTTTTTTTTTTTTATTTCTGAGCAATTTTGGAATATGTCTCAGAGCATATGCCGCATATATACCAATGATTTAGGGATAGGTTGGGGCAAGAAGCAAATTCTAACAAAAACTTGACAAAAAAGGAAATTAAATTAAGAAATTTTCATTATTTCATGCTATTCCATTTCTGGGGATGCGAATGTTTAGTTTTGGTTGTCTTTTTGTTTCAGCTGGCAAGAAATATAAGAAATTTATGGTCTCTTCCACTATGCATCATGTATCACATTGAACTATAGCAATGTTAAAAAGTACTAAAAGATTAATGTATATCAGATTGCGCTGAAATTATACCAACGATATAAGATTGATGAATTCAGGATTTTGTATAGTTTATTCATACAGCATCTGAAATTAAAATTTCAACACTTATAATATCTTCTTTTATCTTCAAGCTACATTCTCTTTTATAGAAAGGAAAAAAAAATGACATAATTATTTTCATCCTTGGTGTAGGCATTATTTTTTAAAAGTTTTGGAATGTCTTGGGGCATGTAAGTTTGGTTAAGGCAGGAATATTTGAAGGAATTCTAACAAAAAAAAAAATCGACAAAAGAGCTTTGCAATTTCATTCTCCACCACTTTTGGGGGCGTGGTAAAAAATTGTAAAACGTAATGGATCAAACAAAAGCATTTGACTCAATGATTGATTCATACTTTTTCTTATCTAAAGAATTAGAAATAGATTTGAATTTTTTCATCCTTAATAAATAATAATAAAAAAAAACTTTGCAAACTAAAGCGAAATTGCTATCAACTCCTCAATTATATCACTGCATTAGGGCATGTCAATAGTGGACCATGATCATTGAAAAATTGACATGACTAAGAGAGCTCTTTTGGGTTGCCCCCCATGGGAGAACATGTCACGGGGGCTAAGCAATTGAAGACACACAAGGAAAGGAAGCTTCATGTCTTCACTCTACTCTTAATTATTTTCTCTACTTTTCGCCTCTTTTTCACTGTCTGTCCTATGACAGGCATGCCTTAGATAACATGACATAAATTTACACAAATTTCCATTTATTTGTTACTTTTTACTCTAATTACTTTTATTGTTTAAAAGTAAAAGATGGAAATTCAATTAAAAAATAAAATATTTTAATAAAAAGGAAGATAGATTTTTAATTTTCATTAATAACAAATTTTTATTTTATTTTTCGATAATATTACTTTTTTTAGAAGATCAACTATATATATAAAGTTAGTAATTATATTTAATTTCAATTCTCATTTTTTAATCAAAGATTCTTTAAGCCCCACAAAAGATTTAAGAAATAGAAAAAACGAATAAAAAAAGTAAATCATAAATCATAAAAGTACGCAACCATTGGAATTGGATTTTGTTCATAAATATATAGCATGTAAACAATGTCTACCAATGCATAATAATAATAAAATCACTTCAAAAAATAATCCATTATAAAAAAAAATATATTTTGCTTTTCATGGATTGTGTTGCTTTGATTTAATTTGCATATGCATTTTTTTTTTTGGGCAATATAAAATTTCTATCATAATGGTAGCATGAAAGGCCAACAATTATTAAACAATTGAAATTTCATCATAATTTTTTTTATAAAAAAAGTTTACGATAAAATAATAAAAAAATGCTTATCCAATGCATAAAAAAAAAAGTCTAGTCATTGCCGGCTTGCTTCTATTTTAAAATCAATTAATGTTCATATAATTTGAGAGAGATGTTCCAATGTGTTATAGCCTGTTAGAAGAGAGAAAATTTTCCTCTGATTAGTGACATAATTAATTTATGGATTCTTCATTTTCATTTCTCTAAATTTCAAAACTTCGAATTTGACTTATTTTTCTTGATATTCTTCCAATTATCAATGCTTTATACTCGAAAATTATATAAAAATATATAAATTAATCACATAATAGTATGTAAGAATGTTGAAATCACTTTTAATACCACAAATACTAAGAAATTTTTTCAATTATTACTAGATTTCAACTTCTAAAGTATATATCATGTCTTTTTTTCATATTTTATGTGACACTTTTCTTCCACGATAAGGCCAAAGTCTTGAAGGTATAGCTAGCAGATTTTGATTGATAAATTTTTTTTTTATTTGAAGCTATCGAGAATTGAATCATAATCACTAAAATTAAGAATTCAACATTTAATTAATAAAGTATATGAGTACACAAGTGATTAATCAACTAAGCAAATATTAATTATTTGCTAACAACTATTCAAGAAAGGTCATGGATTTTATTGAGTTGGAAAATAGTTGGAATCCTGATATATAGAGAAAATTATTTCCAGAAATTGCACTCAGCAATAATATTGTATAGCTGTAATTTGCCATACAGATAAATTATAACACAAATGCAACTTTTGTTGCAAAGTTATTCACATCTTATCATTATTATTTTTCTATTTTGTGGCCAAACATTCATATCTTAATTAAAATTCCAACAAATTAAGAAAATGAAGGTTTTCAATTAATTCACCAAAGCACAATGTTTCCTGATTTCACCTTGCTCGCCAGTGAGGGCTCCAACTTTGCCCATCTTCACCATTGACTCAGCAAAATCCTTTGCAAAGGTAGATACATGGGTAGAAGCCTCAAGGATGACATAAGCTTTTGTTTCTGCATCATCGAGAAGGGCAGCATCGGATTGGAAAAGCCCTCTTCTTTTAGCTACAAGAGTGAAGTAATCTTCGTCGAACGTCCTGAAGCTTCCAGGGTCCATCTCCACCAGTGTTGTGGTATCTCCAGGCTTGCATTTTTGCTTCAATTTCACAATGTAGTTTGGATCCAATGATGGGTCAGTGTCACCTTTGCCAGTGAAATTGTAGAGGCGGTTGCTGAAACCATTGCAATGAGATGTCCCAATGGTGTGTGCTCCTGTTTAATATTTCGTTTAAATAAACAAAGGGATATAAATTAAGATCAAATCTGACGGTTCAATATTGAATTTTTCTATTTTACTTTAATTTTATTGAAATTTTGAATTTTGCCATCATGACATTATATACTTACAATTCATGTGACAAATTTAGTTTGATTTTCGTCAATTTCGTTATTTTTTACTTTTTCAACATCAATAAAATTGAAATTACAATGAAAATATTCAAATCAAATTGAAATACACAAAGATAAAAATCAATATCGACCTATAGTATAATAAAAGGAACAAATAAAATCGAAAATACCTGATAGAACTGCTAGATCTTTTACACTTAGACCTTTAGCAGCAAACATTTGTTTTAGTTGTGTTATGTTGGCAAAAGGAGCAGGCAATTCTGAGAAGACCTCATTCAAAATTGAAACTCTTCCATCTCTTCGTCCAAGAGGAACTTCCCAATAGGGCCCATGTATCTGAAAATGAATTTAAAGCAAATGAATTACACAACATTAGATACAGGATTTTTTTTAGGTGTGTCTACTTATAATATATATATATATATATATATATCTATAAATCATCTATAAGTTTATTAATTTTATCGTGAAAATGGTGTCCATGAAAAAATTTTTAAGGTGTTTAAGAAAAATTTTTGTTCAAAATTTCTTATTTTCCTTGTCTATGGAAAAATTTTAAAGGTGTCCGAGAAAATTTTTTCTTTTTAAATTTTTGGGATGTCTATGAACACTCTATTTCAAATGATAGATCTGTTTATGGAGCTAGATGACATATTATTTGGTTTGATTAAAAAATTTAGAGAAGACAAATAATATTGACAGGTAGAGTTACCATGGAAACTGAATCTCGAGCAACTAAGGCAATGATATCTGCACATGAAACCACACCAGGACATGCTTCTTCGACTGCAGATTTAACAGCATCAATCACATTGTAGCCTCTTAAACTTCTGTTGGGGATTGCATCTTTCTCAGCTTGGTTGGTCTTTGTGGAATTTAGAAGCACTGAGCCATCACAACCCTGAAATAATATCAACTTGTCAAATGTTATGGTAGTTGATTTTGATAGCCATAACAGTATACCATTGAAATCAAGTGCTTAATTTGCTTTATAATCATTGACTATATATATAGGGATAATTACAATTTTATTTCTAAAACTTGGCTCTTTTTTCAATTTCAGCTCTAAATTTTTTTGTGTTGTGCATTGTATTGCTTGTGGGTTTTAAAATTAAAAGAACTTAAATAATTTATTAGTGGTGGTGATCAAATAATGATATTTAATTTTATTAATATAATTAATGTTAACTAGTTTGTGATTTAAGGTTTTGTGAATCTAAGGACTTAAATAATAAAATGAAATATATACAGATTTGGAGATTTAGCAGTGATTTAATAATGCTTATTTTTTTGGTTCTTTACTGGATTTAAAAAAAAAATCGAAAGTTGTTCTCTTGATCACAAATTCAGCTTGTGTAAAAGTAACAATTTTAGGACTGAAGTGAAAAAAAAAACTAAATTTTAGGACCAATGTTGTAATTATCCCTTTTATATAATATTTCAAGGCATCAATTATTTGTAGTAAAATGGAAAGAATAAAGCATTCTCAAATGAATATTAGCATTTGAACATTTGATTTAACGATATATAAATATTTGAATTTTTTCTCATGATAAAAGAAAATGAAGCAATCTTTAACAACTTACTCTAACGAAGCAGTCATGGAAATGCATCCTGAGCAGAGGAGCGGCAAGAGTTGGAGCTCGAGAAATGACTCGATAAGTTGCCTTCCAGATAATTGACTCTGCATTAGGGCACGTCTTCTGGTAATACCCGAGTTTCAAATCCTGTGCATTGCCATGGTCCAAGACCGGAAGAAGAAGAATCAGCTGAAAACTGAGAAAGGAGAGAAGCTTTTGGCCTGTAGCCATTTTGTCTTGAGGAGATTATTGGACTTGATTTGTCCGAGCAATATGGTATATGCAAAAGAAGATGGGTTATATTTATAGTTAAGCTTAGTCCCTTAACTCCCTTTGAACATGGCAGGATGCAAAACTGTCACTGCATTTGTTTATGAGTTGTTTTTTTTGTTTTTAAATGCCATAGCAGGGATAAGGGAAGATGTTGCTGACATTCAAATATCAAATTTATTAAATGTCGTTTTTTAAACATAGCTTCATAAATCAATTTATCTAAATTCCTGATTGTATTTATGAATTGATTTGACATGGTCAATACTGACAATACACCACAGAGCTGACTTCCAATCACAGAAGGGAGTTTTTAAAACCATATCTCAACTTGTATTGAAGTTCCATTTTTTTTCTCTTTTTTATGAAAAAATTCAATGCAAAATACTGTATACAAACAACTTACTATTAATTACTGAATGCACCAGAAAAGAGAGAGAGAGAGAGAGAGAGAGAAAGAGAGAGAAGTTGGCTAGACAATGAAGAAAAAAATAAAATTTCTGCTTTTGATTAATGTATGTATATATTTATATATATCAATTATTTCTGTACATTTCTTCTTCCAATATCATTGATCTTATTCTCAATTCCATCTTCATAATTGCACATGGAAATGTACTGATTCTGACCATTAATCTTGTGATTAGCATTTAATTTGAGCATTATAATTAATAGTTGACAGCAGCTTAAATTTTAAATATCGATAAGATACATCCCCCTGGATCCAAAATGTAGATATATATATATATATATGCTGACAATTAAATACAACACTATCCATATGGATTTGGAATAGTTCATTGTACTGTATATTGCCTGTTATTAAACAGCTTGCTTATCAATCTCAACTCTCAAATTTGCAACTATAGATCTGATATAAAAAAATTGCAACTATATGAGCTGTAAGTGCAGAGATTTATTGACCTTTGACAAAATAATATATAATAATGTCCCAACTTGAATTTAACATATTCTCTGATTGGAAGTCAATGTATTTGATTGACACCCTAACATGGTCATCACTATAACCAATGGAAATGCAAGATTTACTTGCCAAATTATGACAGAATTATTGTTGATGGTTTCCTTTCATGCTTTTGTCTACTATAATGATTTATTCACACATGAATCATGATCAAAGCTTAATTCCTTGGCATGTCATACATAAATCAAACACTTCTGTCATTTATTCACCCAACTATGATACTTGGGTCGAAGCTAAAATCTCTGAGACCCCATATAAAGAAATTCAAGGATGGACCATCAAATCACAAACAGCTTTATAAGCATAAATAGAGAATTGAGGAATCATGCAAGCACATTGCCATTTAAAAATGAAGCAATATATATAATTATATACAACTCCATACCGTTTGTTTCTTGACATTACTTGCACAATTGTTAGACTGTCGAGAAATTGTTTAATCATTGTCTTTACTGAAATGATTAAGATAAACCCAAAAGGCAGTTCTGACTTTGCATGCTGCCAAAGCAAATCACAACGAATTAAGCATTTTCATGTACGTCCTTTAGATCCTTGAAGAGGCCAAGCTTCAAAATTCTTCCAACTATTGACCAAATTAACCAGCTCGCCCCTCCAAACCATCTCATATATATAGTTTAGTTTACTGATCACATGCTGCATAGACTGCATAAATCTCTATCTTGTACCAAAAAAAAAAAACCACTGATTTCTACTCGTGTGTATGCCTGAATGTTTATAGAACTTATTGTTGGTGTACAAGATAATTTTTGTTCTATTCACTCATGACTCATGCTTAAAATCACATACAAAATGCAATTCGAGTGAGTTTACTTGACTGGCAAATTTGCAAAACAGTTATGTTTAATTGCCAATTGGTATGATTTCCAATTCATCCAACCTGAACGATCACTCATGCATCCTGAATTTAATTTTCATGCTTTCTCATTTCAAATCTCAATCTCGGACAAGGGAAAACACCATAAAATTTGTTGCATTGGTAAAAAGTGATATCTGCCCTCCCGCAAAAGTTTGTTGCAACTGCTTTAAAACTCGGGAGTGGCACAATGAGGGTTATGATTGTTGCCTGCTGACGCGAATTTGCCATCGATGTTGATTTCCAGGAACCTGTTTTAGAAATCAAAAGAACGTTAGAACAGCTCCTGGGAATTCCAGTGGGAGGTCAAACTTTTTTGTATCTGGTTGGGACCAAGTTGATGGACTTGAAATGGAAGATTACCCAATCGTTACTCATGATGGTAAAAAAATCAATCTAACCCCGAAATCCCTTTCACCTCAATTTAACCATTGCTTTAAAATACAAATCACTGTGAAATTTTCATCTAAGCAGATTACCATTGAAATTGACAGAACAGAAACAGATAAAAGAATGTCACTCTTCTTTTCAGGAACAGAATTGGCGGATGACTTTCGAAACCTGGGTATGGTATATCTGAATTTTCAGACATCATTGTTTCCTAACACTATGAATCGTTAAGGGCAGAACCTCCAATAAGGGAGCTGAATATAGTGGCGCAAATGTCTTCAAGCTTTGCTAAATGCAGCTACTATCCCTGGAAGTGAAAGACCCAGTACTTCTAATGATTTGAGATAGTTGCTGCCGAGCAGAAAAATTCTTCCCCAAGATGATTATTTGTTCATACACAAGCAAAGGATCATGCGTGAGAATTGTAGCCGTAGGTGGCATTGTGTTGAAAATGTGGATTGCCTCTATGTATTTAGAGTCACTGTCAGTCGTGTTGGAAATTGAAAGACATAAAGTCTGTCAACTAATTATATTTCCACTAATTATACAGTAGGAAAGCAGGAAATTTAGTTTGAACTTTTAATTTAAGTGATTCTCTTGGAACATAAATAAATACTTTCAAAATTAATTATTTTATAGATATGACAATGCTAGACATTAAACGATAATACATTCAAAATAATCTGAAAAATAATACAAAAAAAAATAATTTAAAATTGATAAAAATTATATATAAATTTGATGAAAAATTTATATTTATATTTTTATATATTAATACAAATTATGATATAATAATATTATATTTTATACAAAATAAACATAATAATGATATACAAAATACCAAATCTTTTTTTTTCACATCCAGCCTCTAAAAGATAATTAAAAACTCCATGTCCACATGACATCAATTCTTCGAGTTTTCTTTTGTTTCATACAAAATGAGAAAAAATAAAATAAAAAAAAACATTGGAAATTCCAAAAATTGGCTAACCAGACAGCCCAAAGAAGAGCTAAGAAGCGAAGCAAAGGTAGCCGAACTGAACGTTGTTATTACACACGTCGTTGCCTTGTTGGTCGTACAAAGAAAATCAGTAGATAAAATAAAGCATAAAGGCGTTATCGAAATTGTTGTACTTAACGTTGAAGTTCTTAAAATAAATTCTTTCGTATGTAAATATATAGCAAAAAAAAGGAAACATCTCTTCCATAAGGAAATTTTCTTTTGCTCTGCCTTTTTTTTCCCCTGCTTTGAGGTTTCAACTGATCAAAACATCATCTTTGTCTCGTCAACATGAACGACTTACTTACGGTAATTATCAATCACTTTGCTTATCCTCATCAGTACTAGTTGACTTTGTTAATGAAATTAAGATCATGAAATTCTTCGGTTCTATCTCTTTTGCTTGATCAACCAAGTTTTCTTTTTCTCGTATCGTTTTGGAATTTGATGCTGAATTGGATGTTTGTTTTTGGGTTTCCGGATTTTTTTGGAACTGGGTTGGTGCTTCCTAGTTTCAAGGATAATCCTGGCTCTGTTATTTCTATTTTGAGTATGAAAGTTTCATTTGTTAAAAAATTATGTTCACTTTATTTCAGATTACTATTCTAGCATCACACTAAGTTCATTCTTTTTTAATGATTTTTATCTTTGTCTTTGTTGGTTACTGAGAATTTACTAGGAATTTTTTTTTTGGTTGATTCTAAGTTCAGTAGTTGGAACCAGTATTTGTGCCATGCTTAGGTTTTGAATGATCTTTCCACTATATAAAAGAAGTTATAATTCTCATATGGACTGAATTGGATTGGGGGTGATATCTTAGTTTATCTTGCTTTGTTCTGACTTCTGTCAGTTCTTTTTCACTATGATAATTTAATTGTGATAGCTTCATTAGGCTTTGTTTTAGGACTTATGATTTTATTATGTTCTCGATCAGGATTCATTTGTTGGGGATGCCCGAGGCCATGGTGATATCGAAATGGGAAGACAGGTTCCTGGAAGTAACTCCGACATGGGAATGGAAGCTTTTAATAAGCAGGTCTGCCATATGCTTACAAAAGCAAAACAAATTAGCTGTATTGTTGTTGATTTTAATGGCTAAATGACTATTTGCAACCCTATGTGTAAAGCTTGAAAGTTATTATCAATAAATTTATTGAAAATTCAGATTTTCTTCAATAAGTCTAATTTGAAGAATAGAAATCTGCAAATATAGCTGGACTTTTGAAACTCCTTTACTCAGATTGTCTTTGCTTATTGTTGGCACTTTTTTACCTTTTTCTTCTTTTTAAGTGAAATTCATCTAATTGCTTCATGCTCTTATTATTTGCAATATAGATACAAGAGGTTGAGAAACTGGTGGAAAAGCTCTCTGAGTTACTTAGGAAACTCAAGGTATGTAGGATATTCACCTGAGATTATTTTAACATTGAGGGTTGTGCTGAGATAATTTTGTGCTATGTTTTTGTATGTTAAAGTCTCTGCCTCACATGTAGTCTTGATATCTTATCAGTGTTTCTGCTATGTTGAAACGTTAGAACTTACTGATTTGGTCCTGTGTCGTATCAACTTTGGCTTGATCATTTTCTTCTCTGATATAGCCGTAGTTTGTTCCAGTTGTGACAATTGGTCTGGCTGGCAAGATTCTGCACTCAAAATGTTAGTACTTTATAGGTTTGGTCCAGTTTCAAATGTAACGACTTTTATTTAGATGTCGTCTGCATAACATTCTTCAACGAAATGTGCTTTTCAATTTGCTGAACTTCAGTAACTGATTATCAGGAATTGTTTTGATAATTGAGGACACCTTTTTCTACTTCATAGGTCTGCTGTACTGTGTAAATCTCTTTGAAAGTAAATGTCTAGCTGATTAATTTGCTTTTTATTATCACAATTTACATACATCTAATTTGAACTTTCTGCAGGATGCTAATGAGGAATCAAAGTCTGTTACAAAGGCATCTGCTATGAAAGGTAGAAAGCTTTATCCTTCCAATACCAACCTTTGCAGATTGAATATGAGCATTGCACAGTAATAATGCTTAGACTGTAACTCAGTTGCATATCTGACTATTAACTATCATCCAACTTAGGTTTCCCTGTTAGGGGCTAACTTACTTGAGAAAAATGGATATAAAGTATATTAGCAGCAACAAATTTGTGATGAAGTTTAAACGTGGGGAATCTTTTTTGTGCTGGTATTCATTATCAATTCCTGACGATGCTCTTCACTTTTCACATTTATTTAAGTTCCATATTGTCTAAATATAATGTAATTTATTGAAGCTATCAAGAAGCGAATGGAGAAAGATATTGACGAGGTTGGAAAGATAGCACGTAATGTCAAAGCAAGATTAGAAGCAATCAACAAAGATGTAACTTTTTTGTTCATTTTTCTCTTCAAATGTCTTAACTTTCAGGCTTTAGCGCTATGTAATTGAAGCCTGGTTGCTGATTTTCTCTCTTTCTCTTTAGAACTTAGCCAATCGGCAGAAACCTGGATGTGAGAAGGGAACAAGCATTGACAGATCCAGGATGAATGTTACAAAGTGTGTTGCAAATGCTTAGTTTTAGGTCCTTGTCATTTATCTAGAAAAAAAAAAGTTGATATTTGTAATTATGATTATTTTTTGCAGTGCTGTGGCAACAAAATTCAAGGATTTGATGATAGAGTTTCAGGTATATCTGCACATCATGGTTGGCATCTTTTTAGATACTATCGGTTTTCTCATCTTAATATTCTGTTTCAGACTCTCAGACAAAAGATCCAGGACGAGTATCGTGAGGTTGTCGAAAGAAGGGTCATTACAGGTTAGGATATGGGGCTTACCGAGTGCCAGAACTACAAAAGTAATCTGATTTTTTTTCCTGAATTAGTCATCTTATTATTATTCACCACACTTCGTGTTTTTTCTTTAATTGCTGTTTGAACAGTTACTGGGACCAGACCAGATGAAGAAGTGAGTCTAAGTTTGATGTTGGAATTTTGGCTCTAACTTATTTGGATGCTATTTTAATCTGCAAAAACGTGTTCTTGTCTTAGACAATTGACCGCCTCATTGAAACTGGAAATAGTGAGCAAATTTTCCAAAAGGCAATTCAAGAACAGGGTCGAGGACAGGTAGGGCCCTCTTACATTTCACACTAATTCACTTTGAAGAAACAAGGGTTATCATGTTTGTGCCATTATCATATTTGTTCTAAGTTGCATCTTTTGAATTGATTACGGAAGTTATTAAAATGGATAGCTCCTAAAATAGGTTGAAATGTTTGAGAAACTCATGCCTAGAAGATCAACAAGTTTCAAAATAAAAGGCTGACCAGTCTATACACCGAACCAATGGAACTAAAACAGCATTAGGACCTGATCAGAGTGGCATATGTTTTACCACTTTTTGGTTGTACGCAACTTTGTTATAATATGATGTGAAGAACCAAAAGTGGACATGCTGATGTTCGCATGGGAAAATAATTATTTGCTTATGTAATGTGCTTCGTTAATACGATTTTGATGTTGGATATGGTCATAGATACTAAATACAGTGGAGGAAATCCAAGAAAGGCATGATGCTGTGATTGAGATTGAGAAAAAGCTTCTTGATTTACAACAGGTAAAATCCGCATTGAGCCCTTAGCATGTATGATGGACTAACTAAGCTAACTTTTCTAACGGAACTGTCATTTTTCAGATTTACCTCGACATGGCAGTTCTTGTTGAAGCCCAGGGAGAAATTTTAGATAACATTGAAAGTCAGGTTGGTTCCTGTTCTCACATCTCTTGGAGCATTTTTGCGTGCTTATTAGGTCGAAGGTTGTGTTTTGCTTGCCATTGCATGTTAATGGTATCGTGTTCAGGTTTCATCTACAGTCACTAATGTCCAGTTGGGACAGTTGCACTTCAAAATGCAAAGAAATGACAGGAGAGTACACGAAAACGGACGTGCATTGCCATTATAATTCTCCTAACCATAGTTGCTGTTATAGTTGTTGGAGTCCTTAAGCCATGGAACTGTAGCTAAAGGTGCTTGCATTAGTTCCTCTTTGTTGTCTGACCATGTAGTTATTTTGGAAGCACTATTCTCATCTTACGGTCTACCTTTGGCAAAAAAAAAAAAAAGCCCTTAGATGGTCTACTATATTAGATTTATTATTATTATTATTATTAGCTGTTTATGAGCTATTTGGGCAATCTACATTGCCTATGAAGTTTTTAAATTTAACAAATGTATTAAAAAAATTAGTAAGTGTATTTTTTGTTATATTAATTTTTAAATTGTTTTTAATATATCTAAAACAATGTATGTCATCTTATTAATTCCGTTGATAAAGTCCATAGTTATAAGATAATTTTTCATATGAAACCATCAAGCTTAGAGCTACATACTTAATGTAGAAATCTCAAACTCTTATGTTTTGTTTGGTAAAAATGGTGAAAAAATGATAAAAAAAATAAAAAAATTTATTAATTTAATAATTAAATTATAAAGTAAGAGAATAATTAGTATGTAGCTATGCAAATTTCTCCTTTTTTATTTTTTTTAATAAAAAAATTGAACATTCTTACCTTTTGGGCTAAGATATGGCATGTTTGAGTTTGCCAATGGCTGATGGGTCAACATTTTGTCTCTCAATCAAATGGATATGGACCACTTGCATATTTGACAATTACATATAATAATTTGATTCTTGGCTACCATCTGTTCACAGGTTACAAATGCAGTGGACAATGTGCAATCAGGCACAGATGCTCTCCGAACTGCAAAGAGCTTGCAGAAAAAGTCAAGAAAATGCATGATGATCTCCATAATCTTGCTCCTTATTATTGCAATCATCATTGTGCTCTCTATTTTGAAACCATGGAAGAAATGAACAAAGGAAGGTTGATTCCATCACTCCCATCCTTTCTCCCGCATAGGTAGTGACTTGGATAGCAACTATAACAGGTTCTGATGAATTTTTTCTTCTCTTTGTTCACCTTTTGCATACTGTGTTTCAAAAACTACTTAGAAATACTCTACTGTTACAAACTTACAAGAGGATTTACCTTCAATTTTTATCACTATTTTCTGCTCTAAGGTAGCCTAATCTGCTACTCCCTTAATCCTTGTTAAAACCACCCAAGTACTTAAAACAGATGGCACCTTCCAATGTCATATCCTTACTACAATCATTTTTTTTTGTTTCAAACAATTTAAGAAAGAAAAAGAAAACTTTAATTACTGATTTCAGGAAACAATAGCATAATCTGAGTTTTAGATTCCTGCACAAGCACACGGCTGCATGCTCTCAAGGTTAGTGAAATGCTTTCTAGTGATAACCAAAAGAAACTCAAGGAGACGATGAGGTCATAAATAATGAAATGCTGGAAAACGTACTGGTCAAGACACCATTTTTTCTCGTATGGATTTCAATGATAACAGGTAGTTTCTACCTACTGGGTAAGGTTCTTTTTTTTTTTTTTTTTCATAATCAAAACTCACAGTCCCTCACAGGTTGGAATTTGTATTATGATCAAAGGAGTAATCACTAAATACCATGCTTTTAGAATGCCTTGCCTTTTGGCACTACATATTATGAATACTATTTGCATTTATACTTGGTTCCTTGGTGAGTATCCATGAATTGCTGCCTGCTTGCTCAAACAAATAAAAAAGTGAAGAAAAATGATGCCTCGTGCTAGCAAATTGTGCATTACCTGTCTAATGTTATATTAAAAGATACGAGGTGAGAGTTCAGCAGCAAGCGAGTTGATATGTTGCAACTTGTAGGTTAAGACTTCAAGGAATAGGAAAATCAAAGGGGAAAGTGATGGCAGAACAAACCAATATCTAGAATCTTTAGTGATGCATCCATAGGTCTTATGTGACCCTCTGTCCAGCAGAACTACATAACTGCATTGTGTTATTCCTAAGTATTACTTATAATTAACAAAAGGAAAGGTATGAAATAGATGCATATAACTGTTGCATTGCAGTATCCCATACACTTCTGCATACCAATAACACTCCCACCGCACCGGAAGGTGTGTTTTATAGCTGGACCATCTGGCTCCCAATGAAGCCTAAGATACATAGTTCAAAGAAACTTTGGGCTTGCATTATAGTCTCATTCCTCAAAATACCCATTCTATTACAACTAGTTACAAACTTACAATAAGGCTATGCTCATGATTGATGTGAACATGGCAAACCTCATCAAGCGACCACTTGCATTTTACTAGGAGACACTAACAGAGTGCAACAAACAGTCTCCACATAGCAATTGTCTACTTGTTTCTCTTATTGATTTCCCCTCTACTTATAGTTCATCTTCAAATCCATTTCTTCCATAAACATTCTATGATTCCTGACATCCCCAGTGGTATGTATAATCTAGAGTTTCAAATTTCCTTACCATGGCAAACAAACAACCAAAAAAAAAAAAAAAAGTCAAGCAATAGTTTTATGAATTATTATTGTTATTCAAATAATGACAGAGTTTTTCATCATTTGTCAGCTTGAAAACCAAAATTTATCTCCACCACATCATAAAACAACATTAAACAAACATATCAGCCATGCATATAGTTTAAACCATCCTCTGCCGACTAAGCACCCAGCTAAAACTTGTTGGCTCAACGTCTCCTGCAGAACTATAGGTATATATATCCTCTATATGTGACATTTGCACAATCCCCATGAAAAAATAATAATTAAAATCCCCAATTAGAGCAGTTAATTAGCAATGTATTGAGAAAATGTTAATCAAGTACCTCCTTTTCTTCAAAAGAAAAAAAAACCTAAATTTATAATAAAAGAGAGATAATAATGTCCATATTACTAATCTTGTAAAAAAAAAAAAAAAAAACGAAATTGACAAAAAAAAAAGTGAAGCAACCAAAATTAAACGTTAGGGTTCCAATGGGCAATTGGAGTTTGAGCAAATCAGCATTAATTAAACCAAATTAAAAGAAAGGTGAAAAAAAATTGTTTTTTTTTTTTTAATAGGGAACCTTTCCTTATCGAAGAGATTTTGATTCCAAAATTTCTGATTCCTCATCTTCACTCCAAACGACGGTCGCAGGCAATCTTGAACCCGTTGTTTCGGGCCTTTCAGGAAGTTGCTGGACTTCGTCCGATCTTAAACAAGCCGAACCAAATTCCTTTTGAGGCCAAAACCCAACCAAAGTTCAGGACTTTGTGTTTCTTCTCTTTTCTTTTCTTTTTTGTTGTTTTTTTGCTTTAAAAAATTGTTATTTTAAAAAAAAAATTATAAGAAGAGTTAAAATTTAGATTTAATTCTTAAAAAACATGTGCATAAATGGCGAGAATGTCTAAAATCTAAATCATTAAGGCTAACCTACTTGTTTGTCCAAAGTCTCTTTAATCAAATTGGGAAATGTTAGGCTTCATAATGACCTAATTAGCACAATCGTACAGTGGTTAGAGATAAGAACAAAAGCATTATGGGGTAGGCCCAAAACCCTGAATTTAGGCTGCTTCAGAGCTCTTTAATTAATAGAGAACCGGGCTCGTACAAGCCCAGGGATCGAACAACGAACAGTTTACAAATTATGTTAGTTTATATTTATTTATTAAATTTAATAATCAATCGCGAATAACATTTTAAAATTTATTAATTTAAAAAAAATAACACGAATAAAATAAAATTCATTTATATTTGTTTCATATACACTCCTATCTAAGCTAATGCAGTCTGGCATTGGGTTACAAGTTTATGGTTGGGAGATGGGTGCTTTCACCTGGTACGTCTAACCTTAGCATGGAAAGGGACTCCAAGTTTCAACTTCTTGATTTTCTCATTGAAGAAGTTCTTCTATTGGTCTTTATGTCTTGTTCCTGATTTTCTCATTGAGGAATCTGAGCTCTAATGCACCTTGAAGCAGGGTAATATTTTGCTAGTTGAACCTCTCTATGATCCTTATTTTATCTAAGTATACATTTGCATTAATGAATATAGTCACAAAAGATCAATTAAAATGTCCAAAGCAATCAAGTTTCCCCCAAATAACAGTCTTTTGTCCATGATAACCGGTAACGGGCAGACTGGAAACATTGGCATAAAAGTAAAATACTCCATTTACATAGATTTTCAAGCCCTTGGTTTTCACTTTTAAATTCATTTTTACATAGACAAACACCAAATGTCCCAAGAAAATTGAAAACTCAATTAACATAGCATAGCACGGCCAAACTTGGTTAGAAGGAAAACTACATGTATACAGCAGTTTTCTCTCCCCCCAAGCAAAACAAAACTGGTAAATTCCATTTGGAACCAAACTTTGCTCAATCATGCACAAAATTTTTCATGTTCTGAACTGAAGAAACCCAAATTTTTGGGCCTTGCATTCCCTTGTAGTGTACCTTGAAGTCCAATACTTCTCAATCTCCTCAGCTGTTCTTCCAGGAATTCTCCCAGCTATTAGAGACCACCTGTAAAAATTTGAATCTTTTTCAGTTCCAAACAAACTAATTTACACGTCACAAAATAGCTTCAAGTGCAGAGCAGATCTTGTTAAATTGCAAGCCCACCTCTCTCCAACCAAATTGAACATTCTGGTGATAAGGGTTTCCTCATCTTCTGAAAATTCAAGCTTCGAATCCTGGCTGGATTCCTCTGCAGTGCAAATACCCCAACAAACAATTAAAAACCAGCCCATGGATCATAAAATTACAGCAAAAACTCAATTATATATATAAAAAAAATTAACCCCAGACACAAACAGCATCAGTTTTGAAAATTAAAATGTAAGAACAACAGTAAAGGCTACGCAACCGAAATAAATCAATACTTAAAGAAAGGGTTACCTCTGGAATCCACAGAAACATCATCAGAGGAACGATCCAAGTCAGCCATGAAGGATTTGAGACAAATAAAGAGAAGAACTACGAAGTACTTTATATGTTCATTGAGACTCGGCATATATATATATATATATATATAAATATAAAAATAGAGTCAGCTGAAGCCTGAAGAGAAGTATGTCTGGAAATTTAGCATTAATAGGACAAAAAAAGATTCCCTTGAAATGACTCAAGCTGAGTCATCTTTGGTTCTTGGTTTTTGGATAAGAGAAGAATGGTAGTTGACACTGGGGGCGTTGAAGGTCCAACGTTGATAGGTAGTTGAATTTAATTACTTAACCGTTGGTTGGTATAGATTTTTTTTTTCTTTTTGAAGATTGGCAAATCTGTGGGTGTTCATTGCTCAGATTTCAATGTTTATCCTTTATGTCATATTACATGGCATTAATGCTTGGTTCATCCCAAATTTTTATCAAATTTTGATCCTAATTGAAGGCTAATCAGGTGGGATTAGCTCGAGCCCTTGCTAGTTGACCCATCATGAACTGGTCTGAGATAACGTTTTCCTGTATGAAAATGTTAGGTAGATTTAGATCAACCTTGGGTCACTAACATGATCAGAACTAAGAAAATGCCAAACTCGAAAACAGACATCAGAACCAAAGACACCAATTATTTAATGAAAGTGATAAAATATTGCAGTCTGCAGTCAGATCAGCCTGTTTTTACTTCCCCTGATTCACACTAGCAAAATACATTTTTTAATCTATATTGACCCAACTGTTCATCAGATCTTTTCGATTCGCATTTTCACCCAAATTTGCATCAATTCTAGCCTCCAATTTGGCACAACAAGTATCTCAAAAAGATGGGCACTGGCAAAACTTGTCGATTATTAGCTTTAGTAGGCTCCCAAGTAGATTGGACCAATCCGGCTACTTCCATATCCAATTATTAAAGAACTGGAAGGACATAGCCGCCAATTCGCCACATATTCACATAGAAAAACTGGGTTATGATCCGACAATAATTTTTTTACACCAAACTCAGAACTTTCACCACAACTTGAACCTACCAAGGACCAATCCGTAGACATCGTCTCTAATTTTCTTCTAATTATTAGGCATAGAAGGTGAGAAATATTGAAGGGGAATAACTGAATAAATATCATAATAAATAAAATATAAATTATATATTTTAAACTAAAAAATAATACGAAATTATTAAAAATATTCATATTAAAAAAATAATATTATTATATTATTTAACCTTAATTATTAAAATAGTAAAAATATTATTATATATGTTATTATTTATTATTAAAATAATAATATGACATTATTTATTATTGAAATATTAAAAATATTTATGTTTAATAATATACAAAATAAAATATTTAAAATTGAAATATCAAAAGACTTTTAATGCTAATTTTTATTTTTAATTAAAATTAAATAAAATATTTTATTAATATAATAATATTTCAAGTCAAATCAAATTAAATTCAAACTTAAAATATTATGTTTAAAATCTTAACTAAGTAGAACTATAAAATATTAAATATTAAAATATTAAAAGTTTTTTAATTTTAATATTTTAATTAAAATTAAATAAAAAAATATGATTTATTAATATAATAAAATGTTGAGTCAAATCAAATTAAGTTTGAGTTTTAAAAAATCATATACACAATCCAACTTGAATAAAATTATACTCAATCACATTCATAAATAATTTTACTCATAGATAATTATTTTTTTAAAAATTATCTTATCTTTTGAAAAAAAAAAACAATTTCCAAAAAATATGTCTCATTTTCCATTGCAATGAATTATTTTTTCATTGACTATTTAATTCATAGGTTGGGAATACAAATCCACTGGCCCTTTCTTCAGCCGGAGAAAACTTATGTGAATTTCTGTAAGTGAAGTTTATGAAATTTTTTATTAAAAAAAGGTAAAATATAAATTTTAATAAAAAATCTAAATCGATTGATAAAGTTCAATCAGAAAATTAATAATATATAAAAAAATTATTAAAAATAATATTAATAATTCAAATTTAATCAGTATTTATTTAATAATAAAAAATTTATCAATATTTTTATTAAAAATATCTATTTAATAAATATATTAAAATTTTTTTAAAATTTTTACTGTTAATTTATGCGATAAGATCTTTTAATTTATCGATTTTAGTTTTTATTTTCAATTTTTTAATAAAAATTTTCATGAACTTTACCTACAAAATTTCATATAAATCTTTTTCCTCTTCGGCTAGACCTTGGATGGGAATTGTCAATGCCATAAGTCCAAGTTTCGAGATAATTATAAGATATAACTATTAAAAAAAAAAAAAAGACCGAAACCCATATTTTTTTCGTCTCTTGTTCTTTCCTATACTATAAATGAGTGAAAACAATTTTTTCCTTCGATGTTGCTTTCATTCACCTATTTCTAGCCTTTCCCTCCTAATCAATGTTTTAGTGAAAGTTGTAATTGGACGAGTCAATTTTATTCTAGTTAATTAGTCATTCAGGGTTTTGACTTTTTTTTTTTTTTTTTGCTTCAGTTAGGACTTGTGTTTTAATTTCATCATGGTTGAATTAATTATCTTGATCAATTTGAACTGTTGATTTTTTTATGGTTTCATATTGGATCGATTTAGGTTATATACTTAATATTAATAAAGTGTTGAACTTTTAATTATTCAAATTCTGATAACTTAAATATAAAAAAAAAAATCTTTTAATTTATTACAAATGATATTATTAATAATGAATTACAACCAAGTGTTAAGATTTTTTATCTACCTCTTCACAATCCCAAATCACATCATTAGTGGTTGTTAACAATTTGATGGATGACCTAATTAATCCATTTGAAACTAATGGTTCAAAGAACATGCATGCATTTTCAATATGCTAGTAATATATTTTATGATGAGTTTCCATGATGGCCTCTAATTAACTTTGATGCACTTTTTTCTTAGGAATCAAAATTTTATGCTTTTATATGGCTTTTATAAACAATTACTGGAAAATTGTGCATGATTTTTGGAGAAAAAACAAAATGAGTAGAATGTATTAATTGCAAGCAAACTTTCATATCACAAATCTCAGCAAACTTAACTTCAAGCTGCGCAAACATGTTCTAAACTATCCAAGTTCTAATTAAATTTGATAATTTAAAATGCATTACGGTGACATAATATAATTATGATATAAAAATAAAATATAAAAATGATATGAATTAAAATATTTTATATTTTTGCATCGATATAAATTATAATATATAATTATCGTGTAAAATATGATATAAATATATAAATTTTAATATTTTATATAATTAATATTCGAATCGTCACTAGTTCTAGTGGTTGGACTGTGCATCTTCACATTAAAGAAATACACATTGATCATCTAACTTTTCCTTCCACTTGTGTCTTTTGTCTCTGATGCATATCTCTCTCCATCTATAGCTTTTTGAAGATTTCACACCCTTGATCTATTACCTTTCATAAAAGGGAAACTTGATAATAAAATGAGGTTCACATTATTCTTGATCAAGTAATTTTTCTTACTTTCTCATGTGAGAATTTACAAATAGTGCATTGATGATGCTATTCAACATACATTAACAGGAAATTTTCCTTATACAATAATCCGACAAAAAGTAGTACTAGCTACAAGGAAGACTCGAGAGGGAGATGGAGAGAGAGAGAGAGAGATTAGTGATGAAATGTTAGTTAACTAACATGGATAAGGGAACTGAACACAGCCCTCTTTTCTTCAACTGATCTATACAATCATTCTTCTCATGATCAAAATCCATTTTGCTTTCTTCTTCAATCTGTATCTCTGAGTAATTCTCTGAGGCAGTTTCCTTCCCCTATAAAATCATCAAATATCCATATTAATTTAACTCTTCAGGTCAAACGCTCAACCTTCGAACGATATTATATCTACTTATTATTTATATCATCATGATCTCAGAATAATTGAGATTACCAGAGAACTATGGATTTTATCTTCTCTCTTTTTGGGATTCATCATATCATTTGATTTCAAGTCAGTAACCTATTAAAAAAATGAAAATGAAAATAAAAGGAATTGGCATCAAAGAAGACGAAGAAGATGCAAAAAGAAAGAGCAAAGGTAAAGAATTGATGGAGAAATATGTGTGTTCTTTAATATCTTTACCCTCGGACTATTGACAGGAGAACTAGCAGTATCCTCCAAAGAATCGTCCTTACAAATTTCCTTGGTTCTTGTTTTCTTGGGAATCTTTTGCGGGGCGACATAGGTTGAAGAGCTGGCAAAAACATGATGGTTAATGTGGGATATTTTCCATGCAGCACCAGTAGTTGCAGCGTCTGAGATCAAGGAAGAACTACAATTAAAACTAGAACAGTGATCATGATCATTATGTGAGAAATCTTCAAAGTAAGCAGTCCATCCACTCTCTTCAGCTGAATCCTTGGTCTTGTTTGTTATTGTTCCTTTGGAAGCAACGGATTTGTGTATAGATGAACTAATAGAGTACTCCTCCATCAATCTAAAAAAACAATTTTATCAAACCATTCAAACCAGAGAGAAAAAGAGACTAGATTTCTTTTGGCGTAAAAGAAATTGGAGGAAGCTCTGCATAATGGGGGATTTATACCAGAAAAAAGAAGATTACAAAAGATAATACAGACAAGGGAACCCATAATGTAGAATCCTGGTGTGGCCAAGGTGGGCCAAGGGAAGTTAAAAGCAGCAGTTGCAACAGAAAACCGTGGCGCTGAGAAAGTGAAAATGAGAGAATGTGCAAAGGAAAGATAGAAAAACAAAAAGATAATGGGTAAGGGATTGACCTTCGTGGCTAAAATTGGCACTCAACAATGGCAGCCATTTTCTCTGTTGGGACTTACCTTTTCGCCCGCAAAAACTATTAATCTGTCAATTGAAATCCAAAAGAAAACAGACTGACCAAAACATGAACAAATTCAATTTTCGGTTATTTATTAGGCAGTGAGAAATAGAGTTTCCCTTTCAGGCTTCAATTTGGATGTACAACAACAAATCATCTACATATTTTTTTGTTTTTTTCCTTTGTTTTTCACTTCGATCCAATGGAGTTTGTCATTCCCAAGGTAAACCAGCTATGGTTGCTGTGACTATCATAATCTGTCCGGAATATATAATTGTTGAACTTGCATCTCATCAAGTGTCCTTACAGGCTAAAAATTTACAAACAACTTACTGAATTTTACTTTTCTGACGATTTTCTGCTTATTGGGGTCTAGATCGAAACCATTGTTTTTATAATTAACCAAAAACAAGCTGTAATTATTTGGAGTAAATTGAAATTTCTCAATCTGTAAATTATATCTCAAAGATCTATATTTCTCATCTTTAACCTTGTCTTGTTCATGTGTTGATGATAGATATATGTATCTAACATCTGCAATTGGCTGCAAATTGGCACGACATGTTTCATGAATATTGTTCATACAACTACGACAGTACCTAGGTTAAGTATGTACGTCTTCTTAACCTCAGAGTCAGTGAACAATGTATTAATTCCAGAATCAAAATCCAATGGATTTTATGAAGGAAGGAGACAAAAGCTCTTTAAGGAGAATATTGATGAAACTGAAAGATTAAAAACGGTTCCAATGATCTCTGACCTCATCCAACAAAGTACATGTACACTCACTGCTCAGTATTAAGCAATTAATTATTTCATTCATGCTCCAGATGAAGACACATAGATCCAGCTAGCTCCTAATCTTCACTCCTCAACTCTTAGGTTATTTTACAAAGGTGATTATGGTTTGGTAATTAAAAAAAATAAACGTAGCAATGCTATTATTTAAAATTTTAACGATAATTATATAAATTAATTGAATTAATATATTTTAATTTTATTATTAGAGTATAACATACGACTGAATAGCAAAATTAACTTTAATATGAAATTTGGTTGCAAACCCATAGTTCAATAAACATATATGTAGCCAAATTATATATTTCTGCATGTGTATTATTGAAAATTAAGGTGCATGACAAAATTAAAAACTAAATAGCTTTTGGGACATTGAAAAATCTTTGAAAAATTAATTTAGTAAATGATCATTCATATTGGATAAATTTCTTCTCATTTTGTGTATTCTAATATCTTACATCGATCATAACATTTTTAATCTTTTTTGTCAAACGTGTGATAATTAAAAATATGAGAATATTACATGCATTAAAGTATTGAACTCAAATGATACGCTTGCTTATCTATTTTTACTTTAAAAAATTAAGTGAAAAATATTATAATCTTTAAAGGTTATAATAAAATTTTAAAAATTTATATTTTATTTGAATGTATAAAATGCACGTATTGGATTAATGTATATAATCTTTTTTTTTTAAATATTCTTTAACTTTCCAATAAAAAAAAAAAGGAAGTATAGAGCCCCTTTGATGTTTTCACTTAATTTTCATGAATCTTTAATTTGCAAAAAAAAAAAAAGAATAAATGAAAAATATATACATATAGCACCATATTGGGCTCTCTCACTTGGGCCCGAGATCAGTTCAAAGCTGTTCCCTGTAGCTTTATTTTTAGCAAGGACAAGTGATGTTGTCGGCCTATGTAATATTTGATAGGCTGAAGAGTTGGGCTTTAGTTCCACTCATTAAGTAGGAATTCTAAACTCAATCCAATCGTATAATTAGAAGTGTTCATGGATCAAACGAGATCTAATTGATTAATACTCAGAAATCTTTGTTAAGATGTAGTCCGACCTGCTCGTGGATGCCCCAATAGACATAAAATATTATTCAATTTTTGTATTTTAAATATAATTTATAATTAAATTTAAATAAAAAAATTTTTTAATAAAAATAATAATTTGGGTCGAGCTTACATTTTAAAATCTTTGTCTCGGACTCATCTCACGAGGCTGACGGATAATCTGACTTATGAACAAGTTTACATGTCATTCTTCAATTTTTAAAGGATCTTAGTTAAAAAATATTGAGTTGTAGCTTTTTAAGTTTTAATCATTGGAGTATCATCTTTTGGAGACTGGAAATTTTATTTTTTTTTTAACCTTGGATAAAGGAGGATTTTAGTCTAAATCTTTTGGCAAGATAGTAATTTCAATTATTATTAAGTCAAATGTCAACGTGAGAGTTCAGATATTAAAAAAAAAAAATTTTTTTTTTTGCTTCGCCATTAAAATTTAAAATGAAAAGTAAAAAATATTGGATTATATCTTCAAGCTTTTAATCTAATGATTAAAGACGTTTGAGAAAATATCAAGAGTCTGGCTTCAAATTAAATCTCCCTCATTCTCTTTACTTGTATTAAGCTTTTGTCTCACTGATGTAACAAAAAAAAAAATAAAGCATCTACAATAACAAATTAAACTTTATATTTTATAATTTTAAAACCGATTATATAAAAAAATAATATTAAATCATAATTTTAAATTTTTGTCACTCATTTTTATCAAACAAAATAAGATGCCTAACGTTAACATTAAAACAAGAAAAACCATTTACCATGCAAACAAAAGGAGACAAATGGGGGTTTGGTTTTGGGCATATAAGAAAACAATCAATTTTGGAAAGTTTGGATGCTTAATCAGTTCTCATTTCCATTTTTAGTAACCAAAAAAAAAAAAAAAAGGCCAGTTTTCTTTTTGCAGAGAAGGCATTAAAATGCATATAAATTTTTAAGAAATGCAAAAATTGGCAAGTCCTTTGGGTAAACTTAAAACATTTAATATGAAAGAAAAATGCAAAAATCGTTTTGTTTCATTAAAAGCTCAAGTGTTCTTTGCTGAGCATTAAAAAAAAAAAAATACTCTTCTCTGCCTCCCACCAACGAAATTGAAGAAACCAGACTTAATTTTGTAATTAATCATCCACCAAAGACCCATTTATAAAATTGCATTTAAAGCAGTATCTTCAAATATTAAAGTTCTTAGGATTCGATATTCACTGACAATTTATAAATGTAGTATCTGAATATTTAATTCTGTGATTAGTACATAATTAAAAAAATATATATTAAATTATTTGAATTTAAAATTTTTAAACACTGTTGATTTAAGTACGAGAATTTATTAAAACAATAATATTAATAAAGATGTCAAATAGTTAGGGAATGAAGTAGGTAAAATATTTTTATTTTTTATATTATACTTATCACATACTTATATCTAATTTGTATTTTAAATTTATTTTTATCTTCATTCCATGATTATTTAATGAGTATGGATAATATCTATAAACGTAATTTTTAGAAAAATAAAAAATAAAATTTAGTTTTCTTATTTTTATTTTACATCTTTATATAACTTTTCTAAATATATTTTTAATACAAATATATTAATTTTAACTATTTTAAAATAAAGATTTATATTATTAAATAAAAAATTTATTTACTAAATATATACATGATATGAATACAAGTACTAGATGGATACTATATCACTCGTGCCTGATAAAAAAAAAATTAAAACTATATTTCTCCCCAAATTTTAATATTTATTTTCATTCTTATTCAAGTAAAAAAAAATCAAATTTTTCATTGAATTTTGCTAAAATTGACATCCCCAAATATTGAGCATGAGGTTCTATGGCATTTAAACTCAAATTGTTAGTATAGTAAATGTATACATTTCAATTGAACCGGACTACCTTTTGTTGTTGAGAAGTAAACTATCATGTTTCATTAATTTAGGATTGATGAACTTAGAGATGATTTTTTTTAGAAAATATATTTTTTAAAATTATCTTTGACAATAAAATTTTTTAATTTTACAACCGAAATTAATATGATAACATATACTTTTTAGGATATATTACAAATATAAAAAGTTAACTAAAAAAATAAAATATGTATAAATCTTATAATCACATTTATAAAATTTAAAAAATTTATTATCAATGTAAACAAAATGAAAAATTTTTAATATATCCGAACCTGCAAGAAATGGTCTCTCTTGCCTTCCTTCAATGAAACGATTATCACCTATTAATTGATCCAGGCGAAAATTCATGGTGGCAAGCATTGTTCATGTCCGGATCTTGTTGACATTCTCTTCTTTAATTGTTAAGATCCATTCAAACCAAAATTTCTTACTTTTTTTCCCCATTTTTTTGGTGCACCATTAACTACACATTTTGGTTAAAAAAAAAAGGATGGGAATGGGGTGGTTTGTATTTGTAAAGATTTCTATTACAATATCACTCAGTGTTACCTCACTAAATGTGGTAGTGGTGGTGCTAAAGGCACCATTCAAAGTTGGAGAAAAAATAATTTGGCTAAAATAATAAAAATTTTTAAAATTTATCATTTTATTTAGATAATTTTTTATATTTTTATTATATTCAAATAATCACTCTATTTTTAATTTATACTTAAATAAATCTTTATCTTTTAATTTGTATGTAAATAAGCCCTTGACATTTAATTTATATATAAATAAATTTTTAACAAAATACATAATGCATATAAGATATAAATTTCTCACGACCACAATTGTTTGAAGTAAAAACTTCTTTGTATATAATTAAAGTATAAAGATTTATTTAGGTATAACAAAAATATATAAATTTATTTAAATAAAATGATAAAGTTTAATAAATTTTTTAATATTTTAGCCAAATAATTACATTATGTATAAATAATTTATGCCTAAACAAAATTTTAACGTAATACATAATTAAATAAATTTAATATAAAATTAAGCAAAATCCACACACAATAATATTTAAAATTTTCAAAATATATAAAATGATGCATAATAACATACTTTAAAGCAGTTTAATAATAATAAAAAAATTATCATGAGACCTTTGTCAATGGAGATAAGGTGTAGTTATTACTTGATAAGACTTGCTTCATTGACTAGAGGCCCTA